TTTTGAGATCTTTCCAGGGCGCGCTTTTGAGCTGAATGGAGGCGCTGAGGCCTTCTCGTTGGAAAGGAAAACGCCCTGGCTGTGTACATGGGACTGCATCATGAGGGCTTGTTTGGATTTTCGAGCACGTGTGGGGCTACTCGCTACATGCCTGTTGCTCTGGTTCAGTCCAGGCGTTCGCGCCCAGCCGTGCAACATCACTGATTATGGTGCTGTCGGTACGTTCAGCAGACCTTCCGCACCTCCCTGCACTCGATGTGACGGCGCATCGTCATCGCCATTGCACTCGTGTTTCTTCCGTCCCTTGCCACATACGCCCCGTCCCTTGACATGGCGACAATGATCAGGCAACAATCAAACGGAGAACTCGGCTGCCATTCAAAAAGCCATCCAGGCGTGCGATCACGTGCTCGTGAACGGTCCGGGTGCATATCTCTCCAAGCCCCTAGTGCTGCGAAGCAACTTGACCTTTGAAATTGACGTTGGTGGGTGAAATGCTCCCTCTCGCTTTTATCCAAGAGGCAAGCCTTTCCTCCGCCTCAACCGTGGGACCACCCCGCTTCTGATTCCCGACACCATGCAGATGCCATCTTGGTAGTGTGGCACGACATATCCACCTACCCCAACGACACGCGTGGCTTTCTCGCGACCCCAGAAGAGCGCACGGAAAATCTATCCATTCTCGGAAGCGGCACAATTGATGGCAAGTTCCTGAGCCCTCCCTTGCCCTGACCCAGGCCCTGCGACCCTGCTTACTCGGCGTGAGGCAACCTGGCGTAGGCCAGGGCTGGCGCTGGTGGCCATACGGGAAAACCATCTCCCGACCCGTCCTGATCCACGTTGACGACGCGATCAATCTCAATGTACACGGACTAACTCTCGTCGATTCGCCGGGCTGGAATACCCGCTTGTGAGCTGCCACTGCTCGATGGTCTCCCAAGCGCTGGCCACACTTGACAACGCTGCATCCTCACCCCGATGTTGGCGCATTCTGCTTTCTCGCCGCGTCCCCGACTTTTAGCCGCGGCGAGCATCTCAACATTACGCACTTGCGCATCGAGTCGGGCTTGGACAGCTGCGGCGGCTACACCTCGGCACCCAACACCGATGGCATCAATATTGGCGGTCAACACATCTATGTGGCCGATATTTTTGTTCACAATGGCGATGATTGTATTCCCACCAACGCCTACGAGTGTGTATGGCGCAGGGTCGCCCCCCGCCTGCTCCGCTGCTGCACCATGCCTTGGTTGCGACGCTCACCTCTCCCTGCGCTTGCCTCATCCCGTACGGCAAATCTCGCGCCGGGCGCAGGTCATCCATCTATGGGGACCGGGACTCGTTTGACATTCTTGTTGAGCGTGTGCACTGCGAGTGCGGCACAAACTCGGCCGTGGCCATTGTTGTGCCCGGTAACATTACCGTTCGCGATGTCATCTATCGCGACTTTTTTGTTAATGGCACCAACCAAGGTCTCAATCGCGCACTTGCCCAAGAGTGACCTGTGCTCGCGCCACGATCATATTTCACCCCCCGCCTTGCCTGAACCAACTGTGGCTAAACTGACAGGCGCAGGAATGAAGATTGACGAAGCGTATCATACCGTCTTGGGCCAGGCTGTCAATATCACCTGGGAGAATTTTGAGATTCACAGGTTGGCCGTGCAACCCAACGACCCAGGTGCCGGTGTTTTGACACTTGCCCAAAGCTTGAAGCGCGCTGCTCACCGGCCACACATCTGCTATATTTTTGCCGTGCAGTCCTCGCTATGCCGGCTTGTACATCAACGTCTTTGAGGAAGATGCCGTCAGTTGCGAGCCACGCCCAGGCACCCCGCCTGCCCATTGGCTATCTGCCTCGCAAATGTTTTATCGTAACATCACAGGCTACGGTAGGCCTTGAGCTACGCGCAATGGCTGGAATGGCGCCCGTGTGTGTGCCCCCACCAGTACCAATGCTCTTGGCCCTGGCTTTGCCGTCCTAACTTCTGGATGCCTTCTTTTGTGTTACATCTTTGTCTTCTCTGCCATGTCGTGGTCAACAGATTTGCCCACCGCCGGCTGCTTCAACTGTGCGGCGAGCCGGCCCTGCGAGGGTCTCCACTTTACCGATGTCAATCTTCACAGGTAAGAAGGACCTCAAAGATTCTCACATGCACCGCGCACTCTATTCGCTCTTTCCGAAAACATCATGCCGTTCATCATCAAACCCTACCTCGCCACAACGTTCTCAGCAAGGCCGGTTTCGGCTGCCACAACGTGGCCAATGTCACCTCGAGTGGCACCAACTCCCCAATCCTCCACGCCTGTGGCAACAACACGGGCCACAGCCAGGCTGCACTGCAATCTTAACATGTTGACTGTCACACCTGTTGACGTGGCTGTTCCGTGCGTCTGTCCCCACACCGTCTGCACCAGGTGCCCACTCCCACTCATCTCCCATAGCACGTGCAAATATTGTTTGGGCCCTGATCTCAGCCCGATGACCATGGCATTTTCTCATCAAAACAGAGGCCGATACGCACACAAAGGCCATATTGGAAAGACAGAGCCTGAAGCAGACAACCAGAGGCCGAGGGATCAAGGTCACCCAAGTAATCAGGCGACAAGTACGACGACAAAGAAAGAGATGGCAGCCACACACACACACACACACACACACACACACACACACACACACACACACACACACACACACACACACACACACACAGAAAGAGAGAGAGAGAATTAAAAATTTTAAAAAAACGAAAAAGATGTGTGTGTGTGTGTTTTCAATTTTGATTCGAGCTCACCTCCCACTCTTCATTTGGAAGCGCCCTTTCATCCGCCCTCAACTGGTCTTGGGAGCTCGCCGTCCCGAATTTGCGTGGACCGAGGGCACAGAAGGCGTGCGTGGCGAGCTTGAGCAAAGCTTGGCTTTTGTGGTCTTTTCTGGTCCAGGACGATGAGTGACGGCTTGCCCCCCTTGTCGGCCATCGCCGCTGGCGCCCGCACGGGGGTCGTTAAGGTACATCACGCCGCAAAACATCGCTGTCGTCGGGACAAATTGTACTCGGCTAATGCCACATCCCTCCACTGATGGTGTACTGGCACCCCGTGCTGCCTCTCACACGGCTGTATCCTTACCCGCATAGCAACCACTCGAGATCAAGGGCAAACGCCGCGCTCTCAAACCCATCCCCGCCGCTCTGACTCAAGCCCGCCCAACCACGGCCGCAGCGTCCTCCCATGACCTCTCTCGCTTCCTCGGCCAGGTCACACCGGATAAGATCGAAGACCTCCTCCAACGAACTGGCACCAAACTACACGCTATCCGCCAGGCTTTACAGGAAGCAGTACGGCCTTGCAGTACCTGGCTCCTTTGGGTTATACGTGACAGAAGCCGCCCGGCTTGCTTGCCTCGAACCAGGCACGCCCCTCGCATCTGAGCTGAAAGGACCTTATTGACTGCACCCCCCTTCCCTTAGGAAACGACCGTGGTGCTGCTGTCCCATTTCTGGCTGAGCGAGATCTCAGATGAGAATCGAGATGAGCTCCTGGAGATGGAGCAAGAGCTCTTTCTCGAAGAGCTGCGCCTGCTCGCTCCCGTGCGTGCTCGGAGATGCTCAGAGAATACAGTCTTGCTATAGCATGCTTCATGCAGCTGCAGATGCATGCGCAGTCACTACCTCACGCTATTGCTTTCACCGGTTGCCTGATTCAGGCAGGTATCTCGGACCAGGAAGCACGCATTGTCCTGCGCGTTTGCTTCCCTGAGATGCCCGGTACCTTTTACGAGGAGGACGGCGCTGGTCAGTGCGAGGGGACCTTTGCACCAGTGCGCGACAGGCGTCAATCTCCCTCCCATGTCTCGAACTCACCCCGTTCATTCTTTTTTTCTGAACAGGGTTTCTGGATATGCTGCACGTCACACTGGCACAGGGCTCCCCGGCTTTTCGCCAATTTTTGACTTCAATCACCTACGACAGATGCGTAAGTTTCGTGCATGGTCGATTCCTTTGTGTTCTTTTAAACCCTCGCTGTCTGCTTCACTACGCCTCCTCGCCAGTCACACGCCATCACTTGGCCTTTGCAACGCTTGCGTGTGTGTTGCCCTTTGGGGCCGTGACCTCATATCGAAACGCTTCTCATCGATGAATGCTCCATTGGCAGAGCGAAGAAGCCCAGAGCGTTCTATTGGCCATTCGCTCCTTCGCCATTATCTCCGTTCTCTACGCCATTGTTTTATTTTTCCAACGCCTGAGCCAACATCAGGTGCATCGCACAACTTTGCGAGCCCACTAAGTTTTTCTACCGGTTGGCCGGGGGGGGTCGAATCATCCGAGTCGCCCAGGGCTTCCACCTGACACCTCGTGTGATGATGGGGCTGCTGAATAGATTGAACAAGGCTTTGCTCGACCTGGCACCTCGTCTGGCAGCCGCAGCTACAGTCATCGGCCCCTGACTCGCACACAACAGCGCGGAGCCACCGCAGCAGGAGGTGGCCACCCAGAGCAACTGAATGATTCTTTAGCCGATTCAACAAGTGAAGTTCGCCTTGCGTCCCAACTAGCCCCGTTGCCTGCCATCTCTAGCGGTCGGAATTCATCAGAACCCAATGAGGCTGAAAGTGTCAAAGAGCAAGCGAGCAACGCTGCAGTGCGCGAAGCTTTTTTGGCTGCCGAGCTCGGTCATGCCGATGTTCTCTTTTATTACTTGGAACGCAATCTGGTCGATATGGCAGCTACAGATGAGCTCGGTCGTAGCTTACTCTTTGTTGCCGCTGTGAAGGGGCACATGGACGTGGCCACCATGCTGCTGGCCAACGATGCGCAGCCTTTAATCAACCGGTTGGTCGGGTCAAGTCATCGCGGCCCGTTGCATTCGCCCTCTGCCTTTTACTTGTCCGTCCGATCATAACCCATGGATCCTGTTTTGGGCGCCCGCACGGCGATCATAGCCCTTCGCACAAAGGCAATACCCCGCTTCATGTCGCCGCTAGTGGAGGTCATTTGACGCTGGTGCAACTGCTGGTTCAACATGGTGCCGATGTGGACGCTCCAAACCCAACCATGGCCGGTGCCAGCGCGCTGCAAGTAGCTGAAATGATGGGCCACGAGGTATGACTTGTTTATCACCTCACCTGTGCATGCTACATGTGTCTGCCTATACGCACCCGAGCACACGCATCGTCTTGCGCTTGCGTATTGGTTTGAGTAGGATGTGGCCTCATTCCTCCGCGTCAACGCCACGACCTGCGGCGCACCCTTAAACCTGGATCCGCGTCCTCCCACTGCCCAAGCCAGGTACGCTTGTTCCTTCTCAACCCTCAAGGAGAAGCACACCCACTGCCTATGGCCCGATGTTCATCAAATCATGCCTTTGCTCCGTCTTTTGTCGCCATCATTTTTGACAAACCAGGGCACGGGAAGCTGGCCACCCTGAGGTGGCAGAGACCCTCGTCCGAATTTCGCGCATGGCGCTTGACTAGCTTTGACAGGATACGCTTTCCAAACAAGATATCAGGCACCCCTTTGCGCAAGCGATGTGGGCAGAGTGGGCAACAGTAGTAGGGCCACCATGGTGCGCCAAAGCTCTTGTAACAAACAAGGCTTCCGATAGCAATTGTTACCGTGCATCAGCTTGTCGCTCTTGCTCTTCAACAGCAAAATCAATTCAGGTGTTTCTCACCCGCCTATCCGTATGCCCTGCCTCAGGCCTGGGCCCTTCGTCTATGGTTCCTCATACTCCCCACCCAATTCATCCTCTTTCACGTCCTGCACCACGGCATCGCTGGGCGCTGGAGTTGTACTAACAGGGCGCGATTGATCTTCGAGATCATCATCGCTTGCCCCGTCAAGCACAGCGCTCGAAGCAGGCTGAGCATCACCCAAAGGGTTTAGGGCTTCGGCCAGCGGGTCCGCAAAGCCAGCTTTTTCAGCCAACAGCAGGGCCCGCTCCTCGATGATATAGCTGCCTGAGAGCAAGCGTGCGACTGCGCCAAGCTTGCCGTCTTTGCGGCTCTTGCGCCCAGTTTCTAAAAGCTGGCACATACAAAAGGTTGGAAAGGCAAAGGCAACATGAGCAAGGGAGCCAAAGCAAGCACGCCTTGGGCCGGCCATATGCAAGGCACAGTACTAATATTCACCTGAGCAGCCGTATAGCATTTGATGTGATCACTAAAGGTGTACTTGGCCGTATGAACCAATTGTGGCTCATCACCACGACCCGGGTGGCGTGGCCGCTCGTAAACGCTGATGACCAGTCCACGTGTATTAGACGAGTCCTTCTCGACGTGAACACAGGAGAGGTCCGCATGCAACCTGCAAGGCCAAAGACAGGCAAAAATATCGTCTTGAGCGAGACGTGGTTCTCAGCCCCCTTGCCGATTCAAAGGCCGACTGACATACCGCACGATTCCGTGATTGATGGTGCTGTGCTCCAACACAATGAGGCGCCATTCGTCAAAGCTGAGCATAACGCGTGTTTGGCTCGTCTTGCCGTTGTGCGTGGTAATGGCAAAACAAGGAATGATGGCATGGTGCTTGTTAAAGGGGAGAGTATCTCGAATTGCCACTGGCCAGTCCGGCTGGGCCAACGGCAGCTCCTTGTCGTGCTCACCGATCACGGCAAAGTAAAATTTGCGCGCCACCAGGCAGACCTGAATGGAGCGTCGCAGCTTCTCATCATTTGTTGCAGGCAAACGCAGCTCAAAATCAACCCCTGGCAGCCTCTTGCTCGTGGGTGGCATAACAACTCTGTGCAATATACAATGGCATCAGCCCGTAGGATGAGCCTGGTCCATCAAAGTCCACACCAAAGGCTGAGTCAGAGATGGACAGAGCTTGCGAATACAAACTTACGTGGCGCTGCTCAACAAGCGGACAAGACGCAGTGGTTGGAGGCGCTTGTGCTCGAGCTCAAAGATATCCAAAAACTTGCCCGAGCGGTCTTCTTTTTTGGTCATCTCGATAGTGTACATATCCTTGAGCTGCTTCAAAGTCATGGCAGCGACCCGCATCACAATGTATTGATGCTCGGGGATGAGTCTGCAGCAGCTGTCCGAGTCTAGGAGGTGACTGCGAGATGCGGCGCGCCCCGTGGTTGGCGAAGAGGAGCCCACCAAAAAGCGGTTGACGGCGTTTGAACGCAGCAGCATATGGCTGGGCCCGTTTACTGACGGTGGTGCACTTCCCGTGCGCTCTCCACCATCCAAAGAAGTGGCATCCGACATCTGAGTGCTCGGCGAGGACAGATTCGAGGTCAGAGAACCACGTCGAGGCGTGCGCGTCGGGGTGGGTGAGGACACGGGCGTGGTCAGCATGTTTAGTAAGCGAATGGCCAGCGTGAGTGTGATCAGCCGGTACTGTGGTACATTATCCTCTTTCTTGTCATCGTTTGTGGCAGAGGGAAGACGCATGTCCGGTGCCAGCGTCGAGGCTCGCGCCATCAACATTAACAGGGCCGTGGCCAGTTGCTGGTTGTAGTCGCCAATGGCGCCATCGGGGGCCATGAATTCAAGGCGACGACCCCGCAAGGCCGCTGCGCTCACGTTTGGATTCTCCATCATGCTAGACAAAAGCATTAACGCCGGCAATGCCTCCGTATCACAACGCTGCTCGGCCGTGTAGAGACAGTCAATGATGGGCCGGAAAAAGATGGAGCCGCTCATCTTGTCGTCGTCTCTGCTTGAGCTGTGGTCTTCCTTGTCCGCCTCGCGGTCGCTTGGGCGCTCATCCTCACTCTCATCGTCATCGCTGGCGTATCGCGAATGCTCGTGCTGTGCAATGTCGTAATCGCTGCGACCGTAAAGCAAAGTGGCCACGATGGCGTGCAAGAATGGCGAGTCCTCAAACACGTTGAGGGCCTGTGCCAGAATGAATAGCGCCGTTGCTGTGGACAGCGGCCGTGCAAAGTGCCGGGAAATGGGGCCTTCGCTGGTAATCAAGCTCCCACAATACAAGGGCACAAATAGCTGCTCGAGGAGAGCCTTGCGCAGATCCTAGAACAAGCACGAGATATGGACCGTCGCAGAACAGGTGAGACGGGTAGTCACAGCGCGAATAAGAGGTTGTACAAGCACAAGAAAGCAAAAGAAGATTCAAAAAAAAAAGATGAAGTGGAAGGATGATGATGAGCGCAACTCGATCCCAAGCTTACATCGGCCAGTTGAGGCAAGACCATGAGATCATTCATGTATTGAAACAGATCAAGGTGCTCCACGATCAAGCCACCGGCCAAACCACTGTGGCCATACAACGGGCAAAGCCAGGGGACGGCATTAACATCACAGAGGTTGCATTAGCAATTGTCCCACGTGACAGCCGGCATGAAATCAGCGAGCGCGAGCCGGGTGATGTCGCCGTACCTTTCACCACTACGAAGTGCCGCGTCCAGTTGCAAGCTGATCTTGGCCGTTGATTTGACCAGCTGAGACAGGTGGTGTGGGGCCCCTGTAACGCGAACGTAATCCTGCAGCACCTCTTCCTTCACTGTGCATCGTGGCACCGTGTTTCACCGCATGAGTAAGCGAAAGGGTAGGCAGGTGGTGCTCGGTACTCGAGTTGGTTGGACAGAGGTTCGATGTCATCGGACCTTGGAAGATGAGAAGGATCAGATTCCGAACGGAAGTGCGAACCATCGCATCAGGGTACTCGAATAATTTGACGGCCTCGGTGTAAAGAGGAAAGTTTTGCTGGTGCTGTAACATAACGAGCCGCAGGGCCGTGGTGAGATGCTCCGCGGGCTGGAAGAAAACCAACAGTTTTTTTTTTTGTTTTTTTTTGTTTCCGAGACGCCAACCTCGTTCCAAAAGAGGGCGACCGTGTTGGGATTGAGGCGATGAGAAAGCATCTTCATGAAGGAAATGTAGTAGCCCAGCAACTCTTCGTCCAGCTCAAGTGGGAATGGGAAACTAAGGATGTCGTTCACGTGGTTCTCTGATAGAATGTAAACTGAGCATCCAGCACGGGTGAGACAGGGGTTGCGGGTCGTGGGCAAGACAGGCCATGATACCATGCGGCAGCAAACGCGCCACATACAGAGAGACGTGGGCGTCTTGAGGCTCTCGAAGAAGATGCACAAGACCTGCAGGCCTATGTTTCAATATGGGTGTGAGCCACATGCGCGGGGAACAGTCAGCACGTCATGATTCTTGACTGTCTGGTGGGTTGATGAACATCTGATCAAGCCCTCGAGTGAGGAGCTCGGTACATCAGTCTGTCCGACAGCAGGGCGAACGATAAGCACCTTGCTTGTAGATGGAGATGGGCGCGTCCTGGCATAAAAGCTGGCGAAGAAAGGCCATAAACTGATTTTCCATTGCAAACTCGAAAATCTGTGACACGGGAACAAAGTGTCGAGATGTAAATGATCGGCCAAAGCGTCACACGGTGGGGGATAATGACATGCCGGACTCGACGCAGCCTGGTTTACCCACCTCAGGACAGTCGTTCTGATCACCCCAGACCACGATCTCGACGAGGAGCTGAAGCCCCTCCAAGATGAGAGCCTCACGCTCGTGCGGCTCATTTTGTGCCCCCGAAAGCTCTTGCCAGACGATGCTGGTTGATGCCAAAACGCGTTGTTGAGTTGTTGTGTGATCATGAGCAGGATGGGATGTGAAGATGCACCAAGCAGTGAGCTGTGAAAATCAGGCCAGCAGAGGATGGTAGTGCGAGCAGCCGAAGGCCTGCTTCACAATGCCAAGATGAACGACAGACTAACCGAAGCTGCTGCAACGAGAGACGATTCTTGACACGCTGGATGATGAATTTGGGCATGCTGCCGGTCAACACTCCGACGCAAACAGATCCGAGCTCTTTCGGCTCAAGCGAGGTCGTGGGGCAGTATCGTCTGCGCACACTTGCACGGCTGGGCCTGAGACTGGATCTATCGGCGCCAGGCCATGCCGATGTGCTATCTTTACAACCCCGTCTCCTGATTAACCGGTAGCAAATCCTCTGATCACAGGCACCGAGTCGTAGTAGAGGAGGTGTGCGTAGATCAAGCACAGGTCAAGGCTGGAGGGTTGACAAGTGGCAAAGCGCGCGAGATCGGCAGCATCAGCAACATTCATCCTTGAACACTCGGCAGCGCAAATAAGAATGCCATCTTCCACCACGCACCTATGCCCCGCACCGCGCACCTCTGTCGCTCCTCCACCTGCACCAGCACCAGCTCCTGCTTCACCCTCGTGGCTGCCGTAGAAAAAGTCAGTGCCTGCGCGATCACAAGCCATAAGGGGGGCATCTGCGGAAGTGTGATATCTGATACACTTTACCGCTGGTTGATCCCGCATGTCGTTTGGTAGCGCCTCTCTCTCTCTCTGTCTCTCTCTCTCTCTCTGTCTCTCTCTCTCTCTCTCTCTCTCTCTCTCTCTCTCTCTCTGTCTCTCTCTCTCTCTCTCTCTCTCTCTCTCTCTTCTCTCTCGCTGTGGCTTTTGCGAATCGAAGCGGGCACCTGTTGATGGTGGTGGTGGTGGCGGCGGTGGTGACCAGGTCAGGCTCACGGGATCAAGGATAGGGGCGTGAGGTTGGCGTGCGTGGTGTGGAGCTGTTCTGGCTACTGGATCAGCGGGTGGAGATACGGCCAGGTGGAAGGGTGCGCTCTTGCAAATCCCCCAGTGTCTTTGTGAGGTGAGAGAGCACATACTGATCAAGCTAGGGGCCGAGCTTGCCCCATGCTCCATGGCTCAAATGTCCTGCTTTGGACTGTCTTGGTCTGCCGCTCAGGCGTAGCAGAGCCGTCATCTCGACGTCTCACCCGGTATTCTGCATTCTCCACTGTAAGGCCCTAGCTGTTCCAAAGGAGCAGCAACCTTTGCGTTGCGAAGAACTGGAAATAAAAAAAGCTCTGCGAAACACGACAGCATGGCGCTCAAGGCGAACAAGCGCATGCTTTATGTGGGCGGTCTAGCGGAAGAGGTGACAGAGGAGGTCTTGCGCGATGCCTTTGTCCCTTTTGGCGACATTTTGGAACTGCAGCTACCTCTTGATTTCCAAACCCGTGCGTCATTGCTTCCTTCTTGGGATCGAGCCGCAACATTTGACTTGCCGGCAGTTACACTCACACCCATATCGACTCGCAGAGGACCACAAGGGGTTTGCGTTTATTGAATACGCAACGCTTGAGGACGCAGAAGCTGCCATTGACAACATGGTAGGTCTGTCCGCCTTGACCCCGTGTGCCCCCTCCATGAGGGTACATTCGCGGGGAACTACGTTGCCAGACGTTCACCTTGAGGCTCGATCAACGCTGACTCGCCCCTTTTTGTACCTGATGATAGCATGAGTCAGAGCTTTATGGCCGAACGCTGCGCGTCAACGTGGCCAACGTCACACGCAACCTCAACCTTGCCAAGCCATGTATGCCTCACGCTCTCCACATGCCACGTCTTCATTTCACGTGCCTCAAATGCGGGAACCCCGTGTTTGATGGCTATTGTTTGGGGATGGCTGTACACCTGCCCACCTCCCCGTTGCTTCTGACTGCATTGGCCTGACTGCATTGGTCTGATGGCACTGGTGTAATCTCTCAGTGTGGCAACAAGAAGCTTGGCTTGCCGAGCATGGCGACGTGGCTGACGGGAAGGCAGCTAAGGACATGGAGACAGAGGCCCTGGCCAAGCTACAGTCCGACAAGGACACCGATGAAGGCGAGCCCATGAGCAAGCGCGCTCGTTCTGACAACCCCAAAGTGTATTTGGACATCAATATTGGCAATCAGCCGGCCGGCCGATTGGTCATCGAGGTTTGTTCGGCACACTCGCCTCCGCCCAAACCTGCAGCACAGCTGTCGTTTTACCTCGGATCCCCTCGTTGCAATTGGCTTGCAATCGAGAAGCACCCGCCCGGTGCGTCCACTCATCTCCCCCCCCTCGGCCCCTAAACTCCTGAATGCAGCTGCGTGCGGACGTTGTGCCCAAGACGGCCGAGAACTTTCGACAGCTATGCACCCATGCCAAAGGCTTTGGACTTCGCAACAGCATATTCCACCGCATCATTCCTGGTGAGTTCAAAAGTGCTCTAGGCCTGTAACTTCCGTGCCATCTCCTGCCCATGCCCTTATGCCAATGTGACTGTAATCGCAGGCTTTATGGCCCAAGGTGGTGACTTTACGGCCGGCAACGGCACAGGCGGTTCGTTGCGTTCTTCAGAACATCAGGCCGCGTGTGGTCTTTGTTTTATTCCTCTCAAGTCGTCAAACCTGACTGAATGCTCGTTTGCTCGTCTTGTTCATTGCAGGCAAGTCAATCTATGGTCGCACTTTCAAGGACGAGAACTTCCAACTGCAACACTTGGGCCCTGGTGCGTACGCCTACGCCCACTGAACAACAAGACGAGGTTCTGTGTTCTCTTGCATCTTGGTATCACGGCTAGTCCTGAACGATTTCCCGCCTGGATCCTTGACATGATAGGCACGCTGTCCATGGCCAATTCGGGTCGTCACACCAACGGCTCGCAATTTTTCTTGACCTTTGCTAAAACCGAGTGGTGCGTGGTCGCGCACTCGCGCTCCCTCTTGGGAGTTTAAACATACCCTCCCCTGCCGGTTGGCTTTTTCGCGTGGAATGTCACACGCAACATGTGGCCCAATCTTAGGCTGGATGGCAAGCACGTCGTGTTTGGTCACGTGATGGAGGGCATGTCTTTGCTGAGTCAACTTGAGGTACACGATACCCTGCCTGAGCCGTGTCATTCCATCGAAGCGTGGCCTTACTCTGTTCGCCTCGTGCCTGCCTCAGGGCGTCGGTTCGGAGAGTGGTAAACCGAGCAAGAAGGTGCGCATTGTGGATGCTGGAGAGGTATAAGCCAAGGTTTACATCCAAAGATAAAAACGTCATCAAGCCCCAGCATTTCGATCCAAGGCTTTTTCGACCCTCGGGTCGAGCCAGACACAATTGACTGGTCGCACACTCTCAGCTTGCGCCCCCAGCGCTCAGAAGCTCGACCTGCACGGAACGTGCATGTATCAACACACACACACACACACACACACACACACACACACACACACACACACATACATGCACATACACAAACTCTGTCTCACATACTTGTTCACGATTAAGTTTGCTACGCTAAGCTGAGAGCAGGGCAGAAGTTCAGGGAGTTGTCAATTTGTCGATTTTTTATTTTTTGAAATGTTTGCATGTAAATGCTTATGGAGGTTGCAACCACAAGACTATCGGATCATTCCCACCGCGCTTTCATCTTCTGTTTCTCTTCACACAAAGTCAAAGGGTTTTCAAGAAAAAAAAAAAAAAAAACAAGAAAAAAGGGGGATGGCTGGGATTGAGACCGAATTTACTTGCTTGCGGCGGATGCCTTGGCAGTAAAGTAGACCAGGTAACCCAGCACAAACATGGCAATGAACTCGGCGGGGACGGGCAGCGAGAAAGCCGAGGGAACCTGATTCAGACAAGGTAAGAAGACAGAAGATAAAGATGAGAAGGATGCGCACACGACCAGAATCAGAAGGGAGGAGAGCACATACCGAGTAAGGGACGGCAATGGAGAAATCAGCCTCCGACACGGGCTTGGCAGCCTAGGCAAAAGCAAAGAATAGCAACCGCAATATGACTTGATATGAGAAAAGAATTCGCCGCGGCTTTTGCAACAGGCACAGAACAGAGATGCAAAGATTGGGTTGGGCGGCGGCGGAGGTGAATTTGCATCGTTACCTCCTCAGCGGCCTGGAAGCTGGCGGCGTCAAAGAAGGTGACGACGGTGGTACCAGAGGACATGTCCTTGTTCTTGGCAAACCAGCTCACCTACGCAATGAGTCAAGATCGACACAAGTGAGCCACATTATCCGCGGCAAAAGCACGCATGGTTCGTGGTGCGCTGTCTCCCTCCTGGTTGGGGCCCAACAAACCTGGTAGTCACCGGTCGCGGAGCTAGCGACGGGCACAAACTGGCCGTTGACATAGGCGGTCAGAGGCTCGGTCTATGCAGGTAGGCAAATGTGAGTGCTTGTATCAACACACACACACACACACTCATACACGAAACGAAAAGTGCATCAACATTGCTTGGTACTTCGCATCCACAGGGATCGAGGATTTGAAGCAGTCAGAAAAGAACAGACAAGGCTTGACGACGTACCACACGCTTGCCGTTGCACGAGACGCTGAACTTGACACCGTACGAGGTCTGATCGTACATGTTGGGGGAGCCAGTGATGGAAGGCTCGGACTTGACGTCCGGGTTGCTGCAAATGTCAGCTACGCAAAGGTAGCCCCCAAGCAGCCAAGCGGTCATGTGTGTGAGCGTGAGGTCTGGCGGAGCGGAATGTTTGGATCGCCTGCAAAAGCGAAGAGGAACCCGCGAGCAGGGAGTTGGAAGCCTTTTCAAAGGGCTGCAATGAAAGCGTACCAGCAGCAAAGGCGGCCAGGGCGGCCAGGGCGAGCACAAGACGCATCTGCGAGGACGAGATCGTTTCATCCGTACATAGGAAGGGTACGAGGCAAGGATGAGAAGAGGGCTTTGGCAACGTCATCGCGAGATCGCGCCCGTGCTGCGCACGCCAGGCAGCATTCAAGTCTTTGTCGCCGGCCGTGCCGCCACTTGGTGACATTCCATTCTCATTTGCTCACAGCCTTGTATACATACCATGCTGGTGGTGATTGGACGGAGGAAAATCGGTCGAGTAAGGACGGGGTGCACTGCCATTGGGGATCCAACAATCAAGCATGAGTACCACGTGGCCTGCATTTCCGCCTCGGCGGCAGCCCGGCTCGTCAGAGAGGTGCCACTGGCTGCCAATGGAAGACAGAGAGCCAGCGAGCGCGCACACACCGAAAGGAGAGAGAAGAGAATGCAGTGGTTGTGTCGACGTACGCAAAATAGATGTTGAAAACAGGTGTTGTGTGGTGATTTAGAATGGCTTGGAAGCGAGATGGTGAATTGATGGAGCTGCTATTTTAGCGCCCCAACGATTTGAAAAGTTGCGGCAGAAAGACAAGGTTGACAGAAGAGCGAAAACGTTGAATCAACATCGGAAGTCGGGCAAGTTGACCAAAGGCGACGGCGACATTGACACGAGACCGCGGCCGACGCAGTCGAGACACAGCTCATAGGCAGTCATGTGGCAGCTTGACGCAGTTCGGCGCGACAGAACGCCACCGCCAAGAACACAAACCGCTTGACATTGGCATAAGATCTTAACTTCCTACCCAAAGGCCGCTACCATGTGTTGTTCCGAATTAAAAGGGGCGGATGATTGATCGTCACAGGCATCTTAATGTGGAAGAAACTACAGTTGACGCAGATTGGCCCGTATTTATCACTTGTAACGCCGCAAGGTTTATGTAGCACTTACGTACCTTCATGGCAATGTGGGATGCCAACCTTTGTTTGGCTATAATTTTCTTTTGTTCTTTCTGCCTGATCTCTCTATCTAACTCGCTCTCTCTCTCTCTCGAATTCGCGCGCTCTCTCTCCCTCTCTCTCTCTCTTCTTCTTCTCTCTCTCTTCTTCTCTCTACTTCTTCTTCTCTCTCTCTTCTTCTCTCTCTCTTCTTCTCTCTCACTTCTTCTCTCTCTCTCTCTCCCTCTTCTTCTTCTTCTCTCTCTCTCTCTCTCTTCTTCTCTCTCTCTCTGTGATTTTTCGCTCAACAGCTCGGGTTGCCATTGCGATAGGTCGCGCGCAAAGCGTACAGATATACTTTTGAGACCACCACTGCACTCCTTTTTTTTTTTGCAAGGGAGGGGGAAAGAGAACTTGACCCACGACTGTTGATCAGCTGACGTCTTTCCCCGCCTTGTCGTGCGCGGACTGAAGCGTCGTCTGTTGATCCGTCGGAGCTCAAGGTCGCGAGGCTGGTACTCGAGGCCATTTCTGCCCTCTCTGTCAAAATCGGCAGTTGGCAGCTGGTCCGCCCCACGAACGGGCGCCTTTGCTGAGTTGCTGTGCAGCTATCATTTGGACACTGTGGCTCTGCACCCTCTTGACAGCACCGACATCACTTCCCCTGTGCATTTGCCAGCATGTCCCGTGACGCACAACGCCTCGAGGCCCTGCGTCTGCAGAACGCTCAGCTGAAGGAGCAATCCCAGTTGCAGCGCATCACCGTTTCTGAAGCCAGCAAAGGGTAAGCAGATCCTCTTTTGACTCTCTCTCTCTCTCATATGGGTGCCTCTTTTTGCCTGTGGCGCGCCTGCCCAGAGAGAGGGGTCGGGCGAGGCTGACACGGCAACTGGAACTCGAGGTGCAAATGAACCTGGTACCACTGCCGAGACCGCGCTGAAGTCATCCTGTTTTGCACTTGCCTGGCATAGAATCATGAGCTACTGCAAGACTACACACGACCCGTTGGTTCCGTCCGTGTGGGGCCGCGTTGAGGACAGGGACAACCGCTACATTGACAAGCGGCCCCTTTGCACGCTTTTATGAACGGTGCCCTGTTTCTCGACCGGAGTACGACGCCCAGTGCTGTGACTGTGGCCAATTCCCAGAGTGATTCTTCAAGACTGTCCACCTCTGGTCCAACTCTGCTGTGGGCAAAGTTAGACTGTTGGTATCTGGTCAGAGAGCCCTGGGTCGTGCCTCTATCCTAGCCCGATCAGCTCTAGGCATTGCAGTAGTGCTGGTGCTGTCAGTTGTTATGTTGCCCCTCTTTCTCGGTCTTGTGTTGGTGTGTTTGTACGTAGACGTGTGCTTGATGTATTCTGCACGCACTTCTTTTCTCCTTGACGGAGACGCGGTGCAGGAGGGGGGGGCTGTGCCTATCCTTTATGTCCTTGTCTCTCTCAACTGTCCCTGGGCGTCTCCATGGTAAACCACCAGCGCGTCGGAGGACCCGGCTGTGGAATGGATTTGAACCTTGTGGTGTAGGCACTGTATCTGTCATTGCAAAACAGGCATTTGCTGGCCCCTACTCCGTGTGTGACCTGGCTGTCGTCGTGGTTAATACCCATCTTTTCCTGTTTCTTTCTTGCCTACGCCGAGAAAAGGTTTTGAGCGTGTGTGTGTGTCGTTATTGTCGGCTTGTGAGTGTAATCGTTTGCCTGTCTGTTCGCCGCCTTTGAGTGACGCGTTCCTCAGCTATGGGTTGTATCTGTTGACGGCTCAACTCTTCACCGGCGGCCCACCTTGCCTTGATGCAAACTTATGTTTCTTCCCATTCTGTGCAAGGCCATGGTGAGGCAGTTCACTGCTGGATTAGTTGGTACTGACCACGCCTTCTCCCATGCACTTCTTCTTCTTCTTCTTCTTCTCCTTCTTCTTCTTTCTCTTCTTTTTGAATCCCGTCTTGCTGTCCGGCCTGCCTCTCGACCCTGCCAATCCGTCCATGCCCGTGTCCGTCTTCTCCCTCCTCTCCTGTAGCAACAATAATCCATGATTCAGCATCTCACCCCCAATGCAAATCAACCACAAACACACAACACACACACACACAGCAACACTTGGTAATCCAAAGACAACAACCACACCTCATCATCATGACACTGACGAACACAGAAACTATTTTGCTTCCAAGCAGCATCTGACGTGGCGCGCTTCTCTCTCTTTTCTCTTCTCTCTTCTCTCTCTCTATGTGGCAGTTTGCGCGTTGGTTCAGTGACAAGGACACCGGAGATCGGGGTACGTTGAATGCACACCGCGGCAGCTCATGTGAATGCAATGCCAACACACACGCACCATTGGATAGGACTGACAGGGGAAGAATGGGAAATGGACCTTGCAAGAAGGGTGGAGACAGATGTCGGATCGCGAGGCGGCAACCCCTTTCGATCTGCTGGGAGCATGGCTAGGGCCCTCAAACACCTAATTTATTATTAGGGCCCACACGGCTTTTTTTTGAGTTGATCACGCACACCATGATTATGAATGGCTGCGGCCCGGCATTGGGCTTTGCCAGCCTGTGCTTGTGTTGTTTGTTCTACCATATGCGTTTGCTTTGATCTTATTCCGCACCCTGCCCCTCCGATCTCCGTTCCCGGTGTATTCCCGCAGCACCATGATGCGAAGCCTTGTATTGCTCGCGGCTCTGGCCGTGGCCGCTTTTGCCGCCGACTGGAAGACGGATGATAACGTGATTATCGGCACCGACGATAATCTGGCCAAGGTCTTGGAAGCCCATGAGTTTGCCCTCGTCGAGTTTTATGCCCCCTGGTGTAAGTCGAGTCAACAACTTGCCTTTGATCCCCCAAACACGGAGGACGTGTCTCTGGCACTGCACTTGCCTTTGGCCCGATGGATACTTGGCTCTTCTATCAACTTGTGCCCATGCTCACCCTGTTCCCACCTACACCCCTCGCCCATCCTGTCATCCACGTACCTTAGGCGGTCACTGCAAGTCGCTGGGTAAGCTCTTTTTCCGCGCGCTGGCCATTTGACCTGCTCATCGCCACACCCCTTGGTGCTGCCACGCATACGCATGACTCTGCGCCTCACTTTGTGTGCTCCCACCTCATTAGCCCCTGAATACGCCAAGGCGGCCGGCCAGCTCAAGGCCACCGATGCTAGTGCCGTCCTCGTTAAGGTTGATGCTACCACTGAGAACAAGTTGGCTGAGCAGCACGAAATCCAGGGTTACCCTACCCTGAAGTGGTTTGTCAACGGCAAGGCCTCGGACTACACTGGTGGTCGCTCGGCTGCCGACATTGTTGCCTGGATCAACAAGAAGTCTGGCCCCCCCGCCATCCCCGTCACCACCGAAGCTGCCCTCGCCGCTGTGACGGAGAGCAACGATGTTGTTGTCCTCGGCGTTTTCGCCTCGGAGACTGATTCCAAGGCTGAGGCCTTTATTGCCGCCGCCAAGGATTCGGAGCTCACCTATGCCATCTCTACCAACAAGGCCATCGCCGACAAGTTTGACCTGGCCGTTCCCGGCGTACGTGCGCCCCTACCCCCTCTCAGTCTCTTTTGTCCGCGCCTTGGTGCTGCGGCGCCTTCGCCTCACGTGTTGGTTTGACAATTTTCCAAATGCAGGTGATTATCCTCAAGGACTTTGATCAAGGAAACACCAAGTTTGAGGGTGATATCGAGACCGAGGCCATTGCGGCCTTTGCCGTGGCCGAGTCCCTCCCTCTAGTGATTGAGTTCAGCGATGAGACCGCCTCCAAGATTTTTGGCGGTGACGTCAAGAGCCATCTGCTCATGTTTGTTGACACTTCTGACGAAGAGTTCCCCAGCCTGAAGAAGTCGCTCGAGACTGCCGCCCAAAAGTACAAGGGCAAGCTTCTTTTCATCTACATTGATGGCAACAAGGGTGACAACGGCCGCATCTTCGACTACTTTGGCGTGGATCAGACCCAGGACGTCCCTGCTATCCGCGTCATCAACTTGGAAGCTGACATGGCCAAGTACAAGTACGAGAGTGACCTCATTGATGATGCCGGTCTCCTCGAGTTTTGCGAGAAGTATGTGACTGGCACCCTCAAGCGCCATTTGATGTCCGAGCCCACCCCTGAAGATTGGGATGCTGAGCCCGTCAAGGTTCTCACTGGCGAGAACTTTGAGGCTGTCGCCCGCGCCGACCAGGACGCCTTTGTCCTCTTCCATGCCCCCTGGTGCGGTCACTGCAAGTCTCTGGCCCCGATCTGGGACAAGCTCGGCGAGAAGTTTGAGGATCAGTCCATCGTCATCGGCAAGATTGACGCCACTGCCAACGAGGTCGAGGACATTGCCATTGAATCCTTCCCCACCCTGATCTACTTTTCCAAGGGCAAGGAGGCCGAGCGCTATGAGGGTGGTCGCGATCTCGATGCCCTCGTGACCTTTGTCAACGCCAAGGCCGGCGTCTCGGTTGAGGTCACCGACGCCGACAAGACCCAGGTCGATGATGAGGCTGAGGAGTACGACGCCTACGAAGACGACAACCTTGAAGGACACGACGAACTCTAAACCCGCTGTCTTTGTCGTTTGTCATCGCCGTCCCTGAATCGATGCTTGCGTCTTCTTGCTCGCCGAGTCCCGGCATAAATATTCTTGGTTCCGATGTGGCGGGAAACGACACTTCTCTAGTCAGGGTTTTATCGCCAGTTTGAATCACGAAAGCAAGGGAGGATTTTTCCCATCCCAAAAAAGAAAAAAAAAAAAAAAAAGAAGATGAAGAAATGGCATTGGACTTAATTGGGTGATTGATCAATTTCATACGCGTTGTATACTTGTCATCCGGCCCTACCTAGACGTGAGGGTGATACGGCATGCTCTGCTCAAAGCGCGTGTAGGTGCGCTTTTCCAGGGGCTGCTCTTTGAATTTCTGCAGTAGAATCTTCTCCCCCTATTCGCAGACATCAAGCAAGATAGCAGCGCACACGATCGGCATGAGGCAGTGCTGTGCCCTCCTGCACATCTCACACCATGCCACGCAAGCCATTCGGGCGTGTCCGCCCTCATGCATGAATTGACAACGGACCTCAATCACATTACAACCCCCGTGCCAGGTCAAAGGCTGGTATTGGCCTGCAGGGGCATCCCGGCGCTGCGTGTCAAACAAGACCGCTCGTCCTGTAACAGGCAGGTCTCCAAAACGTCAGTTGCACGTGTGCGCGGGAGGGTTTGCCGCACAGAGTAGGATGGCCATAAACTGACCGCGACGGGGCTCGATGGATACGCCGTACGCGCCCTGGCAGGCCTCCGACAGAAGATCGTTAAACTCATGGTCGTAGTGCACATCAAAGTCGACATGGCGCTGAAACCCCTGAAGTTCGCCGCCAAAATTGCTGGCAAGGCCCTGTTCAAAGTCAGCATGTCGCCGTGCCGCCGATCCAGCGCGTGGGGGTGAGCCACACAGTGGAAACACTGTGTGTCCGCCTGCCTCTACGTCGCTTAGGTACACAATGACGGTGCGGGCTCGATGCGGGCGCAGGTCGCTCTGGTGGGTGTCATGCAGATGCATACGCACGCACGCGCGCGCGATGAGCATGCACATTTTCAAAATTGCATCGCACTGCCAGCGTGTTCATGCGTACCTCGTGGTGAAGCCCCCAGGGTACGACGTGCCCCTGGCGTGGCATGCCGATCTTGGGACGCATCAACGCAATGGACAGGAGGTCCTCGTGTGGGTGAGGCTTGATACCTGCCAAAGTGGGGGGGGGCGGCGGCAACAAACCCAGGACGATGGGTAAACCTGGCGAAGCTGACAACTTGTTGAGCCAGGTTCAGTGGGCTATTGTTGTGCGTCTTGCCTACCTGTTGCGCGAGCGATACGAGCCTCGAGAGCATTCATCACCGAGTCCTGACGCACGAGCTGCTCCCAGCTATCCCATCCGAGCAGCGCGCCGTGAGAGGTGCGCTTGCGCGCGAGCAATCGGTGCGTTTTGGCAAGCTGGCACACACAAACCGGCCATAAAGCGTTCGGGGGACCATGAAATCAGGCCCGCCGGTAGATGAGGGCATCCAGCCTACGACGCGTAATGTGCCGTGTGCCGCAGTCCCGTTATTGCACCCGTGTGTGGGCTTGCCGGGCCCTGTATGGTCCTCAAACATACCTCCTGCTTGCGATACTAGCCGCAGAATGTGATCAATCTCTGCCTCGGTCACGAATCCATCCGCGATCCTGCGGTGCGCCGAGGAGGAGGCCGGACTTGAGAAGCTGTGTTGTTTGTGTCTCTTGCGGTGGCAGCGTCTGTGGTGATGTTGCTTACTGAATGCCGCACCGCTGATCCAGCAGGGTGAACGTCTCGTTGGGTGCCGTGAGCGAGTCCTGCAGCGTGTCGACGTGCAGTATCCATCCTAGGCCTAGACCAAGCACCAGGGTGACTACCGCCCATCTAGTTCATTCAGCAGGCCCGGGAGAATGAGAAGTGAAGCGGCAGACCTGCCCTCCTGAGTTATTTGGGTGTGGCGTCTCGACTGCGATAAAGTACATACAATGATAGATTGGAGTTGCACCAGCCTGTTGTCTGCGAGTGAAGCGTGCAATTTTTGAGTCCAAAATCGTGGGAGACTCGATCCATCGGTCGCTCCGCTCCGCTTACCTCTTGCCTGGCTGCACCATTGTCCCGTGTGCCCGTGCCGCTTGACCGTGATCGCTTGCGGTTTGCCATGGTCGTTGTACCGCGCTGCGATCGTATTCTGCAGTCTAATGGCATCTGACGTCAACGCGCCAGCAGCAAACAGCGGGCAGCGTCAACCGCCCACGTCCATGCATCACACGCCCATCGATTCTTCGGATCCTCAAAATCGTGGAAAAAAAAACTGCGGACGTGATCTATTGCTCTCCGTGCTGATATTCACTCAATGGACAACAGAGAGAGAAAGTAAGAGAAGAGACTTGATCGCTGCTTCGAACGTTTGATACTTCTCTGGTTTTCATGATAAGTCTGAGAGATGTACATTGAAAGAGTAGTAATATGCACTGTGCAAGTTGTTTGACACAAGCATAAGGCAACCACACGCGTGAGCATCGGTATGCGAGCACAGAGGAAACGCACCAAGCCACCAACACCCCATCCGAGCTGGCGGAAACACAGAGGCACGCATGCGAACATAAAAAATTAATCGAAAATCAATCGAAAATTAAGGAGAAATTACTGGGTTGATATTGCACGACTCAATTATGGCGCTTTATGGCTCACACGGACAGGAGCGGCGTGGCACACGCACCCAAACCCCAATCTAGATTCCATGGCAAGGAGCATTTACGAGTGCATCATAGCGTGCCTGGCTGCCAGTCGCGGTTCGATGCCGTGCTGGCTACCACCACTTCAAACCGGTCTTTGCCTACGAGTCGCAGACCGACCGAGGCAGGCAGATGGTGTTCAACGGCAAACGCCGCCGTAGATTCCAGCTGCAAAGGGAGTGACGAGGGGCAAAGTCAGGAGCAGGCAATGAGGCGGAAGCTCATCGATTTGGCTCAAGGGCCAAGCATCTGCGTTCGTTGTCTGGGCCAGCAGCACGCGCACGCGTCTCTTGTCCTACAGACCTTGACGAGTCGACAGGAGTCACAAGCCCAGCGATGTTGCCGAACACGCTTGCTGACGACGTCACCCGCACAGCGATAGTGGTAAACACTGGCGCAGCTGTGCAACATCAAGTCAGAGGGAACGAACAATGAGTTCGCTGCAAAGCCACGCGCAGCAGAAGCTAAAAGCTCGACATACCGAGCACAGGTGACAGTCGGGCCGGCCTTGGGCTCCCCGCACGCCGCGCAATTCACCTATGCACAAGCAACACAAACACGATGAGTCCAAGAACCAAGGCAACGTAGAAAACCGGCAACAAGAAGCACCATCATCACGAACAATCACACAATAAACAAGAGAAGCCAGGTCAAGAGACGGGGAAGGACGCAGCCGAGGCAGTCACCAGCAACCCGTAGACAAGGCACGCAATCAGACAGAAGCCGGGCCCGAGGCGACACCGCACCGAAGAGTCATCGCCCGATTCCAATGAATCATCAATCGGAACAGCAACAAGTTTGGGCACCTTGCACGGGTGCTTGGTTGTGTTCGAAGGTCTTCGTGGTGTCTCCAGCGCCGGGGGATGTGGTCGGGTGCGCCTGCTGACAGGCTCGAATCGTTCAGGTTGAGCCGTCGCATCAGGTATAGAGACATCGACAGGTTGGATGGCAGGAGCAGCGATGGTTGTGACGAGCGCCTCAATGCGAGCGGCGGGATTGCCAAATGGCAGGTCCTCTTGGGCAGGAGAAGGCGGGGAAGAGTCAGAGTCGGGGCTGTCAATGATGGCATGCATGGGACTCGAGGGTTCTTCTTGAAGATGGAGATCAGACGGAAGGCACGCGGACGGTGAAGCTTGCAGGGTAGTCACTTGCTCGGCACAGCCAACTGGCTGCTCAACCGGAAGCCACAAATCCGGAGAGCACGTGGTCTCATGAATAGTTCGTGCGAATTCATCGGTAAACACGTGCCCACACCCTTGGATCTGATGACTGACCAGAGGCACGATGCAGCATGAGTGAGAGCCTGACGGCTCGGAAAACCAAAAACAAGACAAACAGCCATAAAACAGGCCCAAAAATTGTGATGAACACCGGCGTTAGGACCCGCACCAGCAAGGAGAAATGTCCTTGTCCACGGGAGACAAGGTGTGGTCGTTGCACAAGTGGGTTGCCACCTGGAGTGTGGTACATTACAGGACGGAATGAGAGGCGATTTGAGAATGGGGCAAAAAGAAAAAAAAACAAAAACGGGGATGTGAAGAAACGCAAGGTATGCTCACGTGGCAGAGGCAAAGGAAAACGTACATTAGCTGAGCTGATGCGAGTTTTGCAGCTGTTCAAGGGGCACTTGGCAAGGCTGTCATTATCCGGACCATGCTTGACATGGGTCTGTACGATATGATGCACCAGGGCACGGTGCGAGTCCAGCATGGTGGTGCAATGTCGAACGCTGCATCAAAAAACAAGCAAAGTTCAGGCGTCAGACAGCAACCATCGTATCAGAGGCTGGCTCGGGTCTTTCACCCGAGAGGCATGTGCACGAATGAGACCGAAGTGAGTTGAACGCACGGGCAGGTCCAAACAGGAACGGTGTCGATGATGATCCACGACTGTCCCCCGATGACTTCTCGCCGGCCCGCAGACGAGGCGGGGTGAAGAGCATCGGCCCCCTTTTCTTCAACCTCATCGCTCGCCAGCTGGGATGGAGAGAAGGGTGCTGCATCAACATCGACCTAAAGGTGGCGGACAGTGCCGACAGGCCGGGTGAGAAGTCGTCGAATCTCACGAGGTTGGCACCAGCCGAGCTTGTTTCAATATTTTGCAGGCCTTCCTCAAGCCTCTCAAGCCAAGAGCATCTTATCAGGGAGGAGGGGGGGGAGAAGGGTTTACACCAGTTTTCTCAGTTACCTCGAGGCCTTGCTCAAGGGCAGCCCAGACGGCATCCATGAGCTCGCACCGCTCGCGCCGTGCGTCAGCCGAAAGGCGACACACTAGACCCACAGAAGAGATGAGAGATCCATCGCCGCGGCAGCCGGCATCGACCCCACAAACACTTACATGGTCTCGCCGGCATTGCGCTAGCTTCTCCCCCCTTTTTCCTTCTTCTTCCCTCGTCCTACACAGCCAGCGACCCGCCTCTGGAACAGCCTCAACCGACAAACCCGCCCCCCCCCCTGCCTCACCACCGCAGCGCCCTCCTGGTTTTTGCAACGGCTCAAAATGCTGACATTCAATACGGCAGCACACGAACCCAGTGACCTATGCAAAATGGATTGGCTGCAAGCGGGTGTGATAATGAACTTTGTGCGTGTGTGTGTGTGTGTCTCTCTCTCTGGATTACCCTTGTGATCCACGTGTACTGTAACCCACAACCGTGCCTCCTCTCTGACTTTATCCGGAGTGGCTGCACTTGTTTTTCTCTCTCTCTCTCTCTGTTTTGTTGTTGTTGTTGTTGTTGTTGTGCTCGCCTCTCTCTCTCTCTCTCTCTCTCTCTCTCGCTCTCTCGTCTGTGTGTGTGTGTGTGTGTGAGTGAGTGAGTGTGTGTGCTTTGGTCGCCGTCCATCTCCGGGGTCTCTTCTCCTTGGGCCTTGGGTGCCTTGGGGGGTGTGTTGGGGTTGCCGCAAGATACCAACGCTACGTGCTGGTGAGTCAGAGTGTGAGCGGGTCGTTGGTAAGTTTTGATCGATCTCGGCGCACCTTGTCGCAAAGTCAGCAGCGAGTACATGGGTACACGATGACCGGGCCCTCGATGATCCCGCTCGTCTCCCACGTTCGCCTCGTTCTTACTCCACCGCATGTCTCCTTGGACCCTCCTTTTCAAGGCAGCAGTTTGAATCGTCACCGCCATCATGCCCTTTGGTCGCAAGAGCACCAAGGTGAAAAAGGACAAGGGCAAGAAGAAGAAGGGTGCTGTCGAGCGCGGCGATTTCATGAGCGAACCCACCGTACGAACTGCAGCCGGCGCCCCTCCCCTTCCCTGCCGCTTGCGTTATTTGCTGTGCTCAGAGTACGTTGGGACTCAACCATTGGCTCTACTGTGATCAACTCTTTTGGGTTCTCGTTTCGATTATCATCTGGGCTAGGGTGGATGGCTTCATGATCAGCAAGCTCTGAACTTTGGCAAGGGTATCTTCTACTCCTATCCCGTCCGCTATGTGGGCTCGATCCAAGTGGTTCAGTCCCTTCGCTCCCTATCCACCCCGGAGAAAACTGCCATCTGCCGGTTTGTACAATGTCACGATCAAGTGCTTTGATCTTTCTTTTTTCTTGGGGGGCGGGGGCGGGGGGCGTTGAGCGAGACAATTTGATCAAGAACCCTGTTGATCTTCCGCGCCACTTCACCCGTACAATGTCCTGAAAACGCAGAGAGGCTATCAATCGCACGGGTGAAGCCGCCAAGCTCATCAAGGTCAAGCGCAAAGCCCCACCCCGTGCCAAGGAGTTCCTCGCAGGTACGGTCGGCCATTCGCTTTGTGCGTGGGTACCACAACGCCTCATTCAGACTGATGCCCACTGTGATCCCAACCCAACCGCGTAGACACACCGTTCTTGAAGGTCCTGGACCTTAAAATCAACATCTCTGCCAAGGGCATCGTCACTACCTCAATTCCCAAACGCGAGGTACGCACCTTGGCTAAAACCCCATGCTCAGCTTAATTCTGTGCCCATGTCCCGAGGCGCACCCACTGATCCAACTCCATGGGTAGATCTTGGCCAATGATCCCATCGCAAAGATCAGCTTTGCTGCTGGTGGTGTTGACAAGAGCTACTTTTGGTTTACCTACGTGGCCAAAGATCGACGCGACAATCGCTGTACGTGATTGTCTACCTTAGCCCTTGGCACTTGCATTTTGCCTGCCAACAAGACTGCTTGATTGAGTAGCTTCGGGGGCAGGGTGGTTGGGCACCACGATGGTCATGGCTTGCTGACAAGAGTGTGGTGATTCTGGTTGATATGACTTTTTTTTTTGAAAAAAACAAAAAAAAAACCTCTGCACACACAGATTGCCACGTCTTTGACGGGGGTGCTCTTGCTGATGATATCTTAGCCACGCTTGGCCAAGTTTTTTCGCTTTTGGCGGTTAGTCTCAATGCACAAGCCCACTTACTACGTGACCTACCTTAACCTAATCACTCGCCATGTGCCAATCATCAACGCTTGGGCAACCTGTAAATCGCAGACCAACAACTTGCCCGTCAAGTCGGCACCGCCCTTGCCCCCCAATCACCCTTCTTTGCTGCAAGGAGCTGCTGCGCTGGCCGCGGCGCCCAAAATGCCGGAAGGTAAGGCACAGCTCATCGCAGCATCCACCGCATGGCTATGATTAGCAGCATGGTGCCCAGGCATCCGGTTCACTCATGTGTGCATGCATGTATTGTCTTTCTTTCGGCGGCTCAGGGGAAGGTGTGAACATGGTGATTGCTCAAGAAATTCTCCAGTGTGAGTGGTTATGACCTGCCAATAGTCATACGTCAAATATCAAAGCTCATGGATATCATCTTTGGCTTTTCCATGCCGCGTGTCCTTTGTACCCACTGATGCCATGTTGTCGACACTCCGGCCCTTTCCTTGGCTCGGTTTGTTCTGATCTGTCCAGACGGCGACGATGAAGAAAACTACGAAGGAATCGAGGATACGGGTGCGGTGAATCCTCTCATGCAGCAGGAGCTGGCCGCCTCTGGAGAAGCAGCGCCAGCCGCCAAACCTTTGGAGAACTATGAAGAACTCGACGAAGATGCCGGAGCTTTGTCTTATGGTGACATGGCACCCATTTCACAACCGCACGTGGTCCCTCGCGAACGCACGGCGTCCCAGCCTGCCATCGCCGGCAAGCGCTCGGCACCGCCGCCACCCACCCAGCAGCCCATGGACGAGTACACGGAAATGAGTGATGCCATTGAGGAAACCGCCTATGGAGGCGCCATCGACGTAAGGATTTATATCTGAGACGTGCATGCTGTTGCGCTTGCTGCCGCGTGCTCACCTCTTGTGTGCGCCTCGTAGCTCTACGAGCACCTGCAAGGCCCCGCCACAAGCAACGGCGAAAGTCTGGCCAACTTTCTCAACGTCAAGGCCTTTTCGCGCAACATTTACGGTGATGATGACGAAGACGCCTCGGACGCCATTTATGGCGATGGCACGGTGCGTCTGGCAGATGGCCCTTCTCAGTTTTTTTTTTTTGTGAGCGCTGCTCATACTCAAGGATATCGGACGCTTTTATTTCTTTATAGGTGGGCTGGTCCTACTTGGATGTCAAGCCTGAAGCGGATGATACCTATGGAACTCTGGCGGACTTTGCCTCGGGTCTGTAGGCCAACTTCTAGTTTGCTCGCTCCCGTTCTACCACCTCAATGACTGCCCACCCTACTCTTTTGTCATTTTGTTGTTGTGTAAATTCCCCTTCTTTTCCGAGTCTTGTTGGCCCAGGCCGTGCTGTTTGCTGATGGTTTAATCGTCTTGTGATAAAAGAGTCCAAATTGTGCTATCAAATGAGGTGTCTTGCCGTTCCAGAAGGGCTTTGGAGCAAACCGCCAGCAGCCCACGAACATGACAGGCAAAAAGATGCTTGCCGAGCACAACAACGGCAAGCAGTTGACGAATACACGAGTCGGATACATAACCAAACAAAACGAGAGATCCCAATGTTTCCAGTACGGGTGTAAGGGAAAGACAGCCAGCAGGTGTGGTCAGCAAACAAAAAGCTCTGAAAGTGGTACCACCTGTGCTGCTGTGTTCAAAAAACAAAACAAAAGAAACAAAACAAAACAGGAAGAGAAAAACAACACAAAACCAAAAGCGAGGCAGAATTCTTTGGTCACGGAGGCAAGACGAATCTTGGCTCCAGCCTCGGCGGAAAGACACGCCGTCTGACAGGTCTCTCGTCCGGCAGGTTGTGAAGCGTGCGAGGCGTGGAAGTAGCGGGGTCCAAGGTCGCTTGTGACTCAAGCTTCCGAGTCTTCGATGCCCGATGGATCACGTTGAATCCATTTTGTCTTGTGTTGCTCGCGGCCAAAGCCTTCATCGTAATTGCCCTTTGACTTGAAGAGCTGATGATGGCGAGCATAAGGCATGATGGTGGCGATGACGTGAGGAAATGCGGGCACAAAAGGAGCAGGGCATGACAGAACCACAACCGAACACACAACCGAACACACAACCGAACACACAGACACACACACAAACACACACACGAGAACGATGAGAAGCTGCAAATCAGGAGCGAGATGCCCTTAAACTCTTCAAAACGACGCCACACACCTGCTTAAAGTGCGGCTTGCAGTACAAAGCACCGGCCAATGCGGCAAAGCCACCCAGGCTGACGGCTTTGTTGCAGACAGAGCAGCGGAAGCAATTCTTATGGTAAATCTTGCCATCAGCCTCAAGTTTCTCCATGGCATACACTGCCTTATCGCAAACGGCACAGATTTGTCGTTGTGGCGGTTTCCAGCCCGTCTTGCGAGTTGGCGTTGAGGCAGAGCGATCGCGGATTCCAACACTCGCGGCTGAAGGGCACCACAATCCCGATGAGCGCAATCTGTCAAGGGGGGTGCCAGATCGTCCTTCGCCAGGAAAACTTGACAAGGACAGGTGCGCAGAAACCAACCGGTGTTGGGGTCTTCATCAGTGCTTGACTCGCCCGGCATCTGGAAGCGCTTCAAAAAGTCGGACGGCTTGACGTTTTCCCCAATTCTGGACAATGAAAGCAGAAGCAATAATTTGATCAGGCAACGCTTGCACTGTAGCTCGAAAGAAGTCTGTTCGCGGAGCACGGCAATTTTGGCAGGCGCACGCTTACTCGTGGTTGGAAGACAACGAGGACTTTGGCGTCGTTGGCTTGACCATCATCTGTCAAAGGTTGGAAAAGGCAGCGTAGGGTGAGGCGTGTTTGCTTGTTTTTTGAGAAGAGACTCTTGGTCGCCTTTCCCCGCATCCTTGCATCCTTGATTCTGTACAGCCTGGGGCCGACGTATTCACCCAAACGTACCGACATGGGCCGATTGCGGCGCAAGCCCGAAGCCTTTGGTCGCAGGCTGCTCTCGGGTGCTTCGGCCGATTTGACAATTTTGGGCTCAGCGTCTGCATCTTCAGCCAACTCGGGCGGCGGTGATGCTGTCTTGCGCTCGGGTGGCGGGGTACTGAAGGTGACTTGCTGCTTACGTTGCACACCGGGCGAGCCAGGTGCCGCCTGTGGGGAGGGTGAGGCCTCACCCTGCTGACGACGAATCATGTCCGAGGGCTTGAGGTTGCGGGCTTCGTCTTCTTGCTCCTCCACGACCGCTGGCTGAGCTGACTGGGCCGATTCGCGTGGTTGACGGCGCCGCAAAGAGGCTCGAGCAAAGGCAATGGGGTTGACCTCTTCTTCGGGTTTCTCGACCGGTTTGGCGGGGGGTTTGCGTGCCGTTGCGCGCAAACGCGTGAACAAGCCGGGCTTGGAAGTTGATGCACCATTGTCTTCGGTCACCTCTCCCTTGGAAATCTTCTTCGGCTCGTCCTTGGAGGATTCTTCAGGTGCTTCCTTCTGGGCCTGCTTCTTGGGCTCTTCTTTGGTCAACTTGGACTCTGCTTTGGCCTTGGCTTTGGGTGGAGCCGGGGCCGCTGCACGGTGCTCGGCGGCCTCCACCTTTTCGTGCAGCTCAAGTTCTGCGGCTCGATTCAAAGCGGCCTTGAGCTGTGCCTGTAGGGCTTCGGTCTCTTGCGTGTGTTTGGCCTGCTGATCAGCCAGTTCATCCTGTAGCCGGCGAATATCTTCGTCACCGTTGTCACTTGCCGGATTGGCAGTCTGTTCCGCCAACTGGCGACCCAACCAAGATGCAAAGTGGGGTGCGCGAAGGTTAAGAGGCGACGATTAGACGACAAACCTCAAGGCCACGAACCAAACCTGTGTCCATGCATACAAGCTTACCTGTGCTTCGAGGGCCGTGCACTTGATCTGCAGAGCCTCATGGTCCTCTTGTAACATTTCATAGCTCTCTTGCAGGGAGGCGAGGGCATCTTGGGCGTCGCTGTCGGCACTGGGAGCGGGGGCAGAGGCGGCACTGGTAGAGGCCGCAGCCAGATCTTGCTTGAGACGTTCGACTTCTTGGGTCAGGGCCTCCACCTGCTCTTCAGCCTTGAGCTTGCCCTTTTTGTTGGCTTTGGCTAGTTTTTCAAACTTGGCACTTTGAAGCTCAAGCTCTTTAATGCGTAGGTCTGCGTGCGACTCGTGCTGAGCCTTTTTGAGGATTTCAATGGCCTCCTTGGCTTGCTCCAGCTGGGACTTGGTGGCTTGAAGTTCATCTTGAAGTTTCTCACGCTCCTTGTCGCCAGATGAACTGCCCTCACTCGCAACAGCGGCTTGGGCCAGAAGCTCATCTCGCTCCTCCTGTGCTGCCTTGAGCTTGGACGTTGCTTCATTCTTGTCGGCTTGCAGCTGATCGATTTGCGCTTGCATCTGCTCCTTGGCATCTCGTAGCTCGGCCAGCTGACCGTTGAGCTCCTGCACCTCAGCAACCAGCTCCTTAGTGCGCGCATCTACTGTATTACCCTCCGCTTCAGTTTCAGAGTCGTCCTGAAAAGGATTGTGCACCTGTTTCTTGACCCTGGTCCGCGCAGCAAAGAGGTTGCCGGCCTCCTCCTATCGTGCATCGGGGAGAGGACGGTGTGAATGAGTGACATTGATACCATAACTCGTCGCATGGATGACCTGGTCGAAGCGAGCTCAGTGTAGCATACATCGTGATCATGGGCATCATCAGCTAGAAAGGGATTGAATGATCCCCGGCGCCCTGATGGCAGCCACCACAGCGGCGACGATGAGAATCCAGTCTCAATCATAGAAAAAACAGTGAGAGACGAGGGCGGTACGGACACGAGACGAGGCGTACCAGGAGCGGTCGTGGCCTTGGTGGCCATGATGCATTCAGGTCAAGTTGCAGGGGCATGCACAGACAGGGATAGGTGTGCTTTCTTTTGCCGGATCCGGTCCCAGCCGTCAACCCGTAGTGCTGCACTGCCGTCGGGACCCACAAACCAAAAAACGAAGAAGGTTCACTGATGAGCGTAACAAAACAAACCAGTGCATTCGCTTGTTTTCTGCAGAACCACTGTCCTGAGTGCTCTCTCTTCCCCACGGGTAATCTACCAAAGCTCTTGCTTAAGCAAGTGTGTATCTGATGCGTTTAGGTGCGTGCGCAAAGGCTCTTCCTGCTCGCCGTCCCGCTGCCAGTCCGCGCGACTTTAGCGATCGCGCGTGCGAGAGAAGAGAGAGAGAGAGAGAGACAGAGAGAGAGAGACAGAGAGAGAGAGAGAGAGAGAGAGAGACAGAGAGAGAGAGAGAGAGAGAGAGAGAGAGAGAGAGAGAGAGAGAGAGAGAGAGAGAGAGAGAGAGACAGACACACCTCTTGAACAAAAAAAAAGGGAAAAAAAATGTTGGAACAACACCACAACAACAACAACAAAAGATGTTGGAAAACAAAAAGCTTTATAAAGGCAGCAACAATGTTAGCCAGTGCTACAACAATGTACATGCAGGCGTGCACTAGAACTGCTAAAACCACAACAGTCGCGACATCTAGTAGTCGCAAGGAGGAGGAACAATCATCGGATCAATGTGGTGTGGCGAGCACGCCAAGTCGCAAGCAGGAGGACGGACGACTTCTTGGTTGGATGGATGTGCCATCGCCGGTCAGAGTTGAGTGGCTTGTAACTTCACGAGTCAATTTGGTCATCTGAACAGATCAAAGGTCAGGCGCAGCCCGTGGACACCACACCAACTAGCGGGGGTGACACTTGAATAGCTCTCTCAACTCCATCTCATGGCGAGAGATCGGAGGAGAGTATCAAGGCATAAAATCATCACTTATTGAGTTGTTTAAAAAATAAAACGGAAAAGGAACGAAAACAAGCAGAGAAGGTGGGGGTGGATGGATCCTCGAGGGTCCATTTGCCTTTAGCCCAGACCCTCCAATTCATCATCTGCTTGAGTTTGGACAATGTGTCGGCGACGGTGGCGCGAGTTCTTGGTCGGCACCGGCTTGGGGGAGGACGGGGCATCCAAAGGTGAGGCCGGCGCGGCTTCTTCCTCCTCTTCCACCACCTGAGCGGTTCGGCGGCAATCGCGGCAGGCAGCGGCATCTGCTGCCGTGCGCTGAATCCACGGCTTTGCATTTTCTGAACGAATACTGCTGGCGGCGACGGGCGTAGACCAGGCGGGCGACTCGTCCGAGGTGAGCGGGCTTGCCCCCGAAGGCGGCGAGGTTGTGGGCGAGAAGGTCTGCATGTTAATGCCCGTGAGGAGGTCATCAATACGAGGCAGACGGTTGTTGCCATTGGCCGAGGATGAGCCCGAGTTTGAGGGAATGGCATCAGCCGACGTGTCGTAGGATGGGTAGCACACGTCGTCATCGGGCGATAGCTGGGCCAAATGTGTTCCCGAGCCATGCGGAGGCGAGCCCGTGCGGTATAGGTTGTGCATGCTTGAGCTGGTCGAGACAGAATGCGACGAGAGGCTGGGAGAGCTGCTGCGTCCCGAGGGATAGAGGTTGCGCAGAGCGGGCAGCGGCTCGGACGTCACAGCAACCCGGGCAATCGCCTCGCAGAGATCATCCAGGACGGGAAAGTCGCCAAAGTGCTGTTGACGATGCTCCAGCACAATCTCGCCGCCCTGACCCACCACAAAGGTAGCACCAAGCTGCATGCCATCGTCGTCGCGAAAGTCGCCCAAGGGCACGTCTTTGGCAATTTTCAATGAACGCGCTACACGCCGATCGGTGAGAAGCGCTGCCATGCCACGAAACTATAATAGCACAACAAGACAAGCATGGTCATCAATGAGGGGGCGGGGGCGGTGCAAGACGATGGGCGCGGGCGAGTTTAGACGGGAAGGGGAAAGGAGGGGAAGGAAGACCCGGAGCGAGCGGGGCCCAAGGTCGCGAGTGGACGTACAAAGCCAAGGTTGGGCAGTCCAAGCTTGCGGTAAGAAGCCCGGGTAAGGTCGACGTAGATATCACCGTCAAAGAAGCGACCATCCACAAAGGCTTGGAGTCCATAGGCTTCGTAGCCCACGGCTACCAGGCGCACGCCGGCGGCGTCGGCGAGGGGTTTGAGGCGGCTCAGCTGGAGAGCACCCCAACGACAAAGGCGGCAGCCAAAACGGCGGAAGAAGCCCACAATGACAGGGCCATCTTGCCACAAGGATTCAAAGTCGACGTAGTCGCCCGAGATGACGTCTTGCACTTGCAAACTGCCAATGGAGGACAACGAGCCGTTTTCAGTGCCCTCCACAGTGGGCGGGCTCATGGCGGGTTTGTCTGAGCGGGCAGGGTCCGTTTGTTTGTTGCGTTGTTGGTGATCAGAGTAGATCCAGCTCGCCAGCGGGCCTGCTTCGGACAGGTCGGTGCCCGAGTAGTGGTGGCTGTCAAAGGCACTCTGGCGAAGTTGTTCACGATACGGAAACGACTCGAAATCTTCAGCGTCGTCGTCGTTGTCCTGGCTGGTGAGTTGATGACGGCGTCCGGGTCGACCAGGCGCGATGGAGCCCCCCGTCGAGCTCGGGGAAAGACAAACGCTACTGCCACAAGCGTCGCTATCGCAGCAGCTGCTACCGTCAATGTCGCGAGCACGGGATTGGTTGCCTGCGGCTGCGATGAGTCCCGGAAAGACAGTTACGTCAGGGTCTGAGTCGACAACGTCAGAGGGAGTCTTGGCCAGCGGTGAGCTGGGGGAGGTGGGGCCGGGAGTAAAGGCCGTGCGGAGAAGCGATCGTTGAAGCAAATGCACAGCCCCGCGGGAGGCGGAGGCATGCACAGAGGCCCGAGACAAGACGTCTGGTGGCCGCGACAAGCTAGCAGGACGTGGCTTGGTGGTGGTAGTGGCGGGCACCGACATGGAAGCCGTCGGAGCAAAAGTTTGGTGGGATGGAGAGTCTTCTGGAGGGCCCGCAAGGTTTGAAGATGTGATCGAGAAGCTTGGAAAAGTTCTCCTCGGGGATTCCCGAACGGCAGCGAGGTGGGACGAGGCTGCCTGGTTGTGGCCGGCAAATGCCGCCATGTTCGAGAGTCGTGTGGCGAGTTTCAATCAGGAACCGTGCACGATCGAGAGAGAGAGAGAGAGAGTGTGTGTGTGTGTGGGAGGGGGATCAAGGGAGTGTGCATGGGTTGTGGGGGGGGAGCGAATGATATCATCAAGTGGGGCTGGGCAAGGGTTTGCCTGTGGGGAGTCTTCGTGTCTTTTCAAGTTGTCGGGTCCAAGAAGTTTTTCAGACCGAGTGTTGCAAGAATCTGCCCATGTTCCTTTTCTTCTTCTTCTTCTTCCTTGCATGTGTGTGTGTGTGTGTGTGTGTGTGTGTGTGTGTGTGATGATGAGCACTGTTAGGGAGAAGGGACAAAAGGAATGACAAGCACACTCTGACGCACTGCGAACACATGAAAGAAACTTGGCAAGGGATGACAAGATGTGGAGCGGGAGAGTGTTCAGGAGCTGCAAATCTGGCCATCGGACGTTGGCATGAGACGAGATGGGATGCTTATCGCAGGGGTCGCAAGACCGCAATGACATCATCATTGCGGTCGGTTGTGCCCACCCCATCGTTATTAAATTGAACCTTCTGGTGGAGTTGGACTGATAATTCTGATTAATCATTCATCGTTGATGCTACCTTGGTGCCGTCGGCACATCACCAGAATCTCGGTACGCATGCCCATGGCGCACTGCCCTTTTCTGTCCCTGCCTTGACCCTGGTCTTTCGTTGGAAAGGGACACCAAGATCAAGCTTAAGTCGTTTGGGCGTTCATGAAACAGTTTAGGAAGACTCTTGAAGCATGGTGCTATTGAGCTTGCTGACAAAAATGAGCTCCAAAGTGGAACACAGTGTCAAGATTGTTCGTGACGATACTTGCAACACGTCATTTTGAATTGTTTTAACAGGGTTTTTACCAAGGATGCCTCTTTGCTGTCATAATGACACCTGTCATCCACCTGTCAATCTGACATATGAGGTCAAGGATGCTTGGACCACATCACAAGACCGAACAAGATATTGTTCTCACCTCCAAGAGCGAGCTCAGGGAGGGAAAGCGGGCAGCGCTTCAGGCGGCATTTCAGGCGAGAGAATGACAACCTCACTGGTCAATTATTGATTACAACAATACCACAAACAACAATGACACGTCCTGCTTGTCGCGACTACAGCCGAGCAAACACACGCGTTGGTTCAGCGCCTCTAGTTATCCCAAATTTGCCGCTTGTACGCATCATACGCCATGTCAAAGTCCATGAGCGCTTCACGGATTTGCTCCTGCACCAAACCAGCCGCATCGGGCGCCCGAGTGAGCATGACAACCTTTAGGGGACTCCCTGAAGAAGCGTCCGACGCAACGAGACCCAAGCCCACATACCGGGCTAAGGGCATCAGTGGCTTTCATGGCGCTCAGTACCTCCAACCTGGTGCAGGAAGGCAGTTCAGCTTGAACGGGCATGCAAATCGCAACGACTAAAGCCTCGCTGCTCCAGGAACGGCATGGCGCGACGACATACCACTTGAGAACATTGCGTTTGGAGATGTGATCCGGCGACAAGTCATCCAGCTTGTTGAGCTGATCCATCAGCCCAGACACCTCATTGTGCAGCTATCCAGCACATAAAGACCCGGGTTCTGAGGCAAGAGCCAGACCAGCACGGGCCCGAGACAGCCAGCGAAGGAGAAGGCGGCAGCGAACAGCCGGGACAAAGCAGGCTACCTTGTCCACATCGCCAATATCCATGGAAAAGGTATCTGTGATGCTAATGAAATGCTGGTGGCCCCCGCAACCCATGGTGGATTTGAATGAGGCATGTGAAGCCGGAAAAGCTGGAAGATGTCTTTGCGCGGGTGCTGAACAAGCGCTTGGCTCGAAGACGAAATGTAAAAGGAAACAAGAATACCTCGGTGGCGGCCATAACGTGTCGACTGCGCTTGACATGGTCTGCTGAAGGTCCACTGCCAAATTCTGTTGTGGCTGGCACGCCGACTCGAATGCGTTGCAAAGCGGCGGGACATTCCAACTTTGACAGCCACAGCCACCCACGCCCAAATGCCAAACAAATGAGCCGAGCCCGTGCAGGATTTGAGAGCCTGCCTAGGTTTTTTTTGCTTTTGCTTTTGCTTTTTTTTTTCCCCCATGAGCGCGATGCCGCAGGCCCTTGAGGACCCAAACTTACTCGGTATGTTGCAGCAAAGGCCGGAATGTCATTGGCCACATCCGAGGGCAGTAGATTGCGGCAGGCCTATGCAGCATCCGCCGATTCCAACACATCAGGAAACGTTGCGCCCGCGGTCCAAGACGGCGTGACGCGGCCATGGTACATCAGCTCAGTGACTCGTCACGAACCTTGAAGCGCGTGAGAAGCTTTTTGCACGTCTCGGTGTACTCAGCCTCGCCGATGTTGTCATGTACGTAGGCGCGTTCAATATGTTCCAGCGTGAGTAAGATTTCATAAACAGCCGCCAGATTGTCGAATCTACGCGCGCAAGTTGGCAGTGTTGTGAGCGTGCGCACAAGCTCCTGGATCGACTGGCAGGGCGCGCCCCGGTCACCGCCCCGTGCACACACGCGCGCCATCCACGTTCGGCACGCATCTTGGTTTCACGTTGTGTGGGGCGAGTCTTCACGCTCAGAGGTAACCAGCAAGATCTGGCCAGGGGCCGCCACTCACTTTTCTCGTTCCGCCGAGCTACGACACAGCTTCACCTCCTGTCACAAAGCCATGGTCGCGAAAGCGTGGGGATATGAGGTTGTGAACCAGGGATTGATGGATGACGGCGCATGCTCGCCAGAAACCCTGGCGTCTACCTCACCTGAAGCAGATGTTCGGGGATGGGCTGCTGCTGGCTTGCAAACCCGGCCGCCATGTTTGCAGGGCCCGGGCTGGGAATGTGTTTTCAAGGGCCCCTGACAAAGAATGTGTGCAAACCCTAACTGTCCAAAACCCGTCAACCCAAAATTAAAGCAGACAGCTAGCTTTTGCCCGTGTCACGTCCTGCGAGCAAGCTCTTCCAGTCTATCGATCGTGACGAACGTCTTCCCGAAAAAAAAAAGAGGAAGTGAGCGAGAGCCGAAAAGAGAGAGAGAGAGAGGCGTTGCGTATGCACGAAGACAAGACTTACAGTATTTTTTTGTCTGACAAACTTGTCAGACAAAGTATGACTGGCATATGCACAGACATCTCATGAGAACGGCGGACTCGCGGCACGAGAACAGTGCTTTTCTCAAAAGGCTCATTCGGAGATGGGCCGCAGATTCTTTCTTGTGAGTGGGCCACTGATCAGTTTTGATTTGAAGCGTGAAGAGGGGATTTTTGTTTCAAACGACTGGCGGCTTTTGGCGCACCGGACCCAGCTGTTGGACCGGGGTGGCCTGAGCTCAGCCGGCGATGTGGCATGAGAGCTCGGCCGGCAAGATGTGGAATGAGGGCTCAGCCCCGTTCACTGCTTTTACTTCCATGCCAGTCTTCCGTCCTGACAGCGGCGCCCTTGCTCCCGGAATGCCAACGGCGGCGCAAGCCGGTCCCTCTGCTACCGTAACACCGGGGCCCGCTTCCACGCCTGCTGTAGCTGTGGCTGCAGCGCCTGCAACCGTCAAGAACAAGCTCTCCAAAAAAGCCCAAAAAAAAGCCAATTTGCAGGCTCAAAACGCAGCCAAGAACGCGTCCAAGCAGAAAGCAAAACTTCAAAGCGACAAGGTGGCAACAAAGCAAGCCAAGAAGCAAGCCAAAAAGCAAATCGAGAAGCCAGCCGAGAAGCCAGCCGAGACGCCAGCCGAGGCGCCAGCCGAGAATAAGACCAAGCAGCAAGCCAAGCAGCAAGCTAAGCAGCAAGCCAAGCAGCAAGCTAAGCAGCAAGCTAAGCAGCAAGCCAAGCAGCAAGCCAAGCAGCAAGCAAAGCAGCAAGCAAAGCAGCAAGCCGAGACAGCTTTAAAGCAAACCGAAAAGCAAGCTGAGACACTAGCCAAGAAGCAAGCCGAGACACTAGCCAAGAAGCAAGCCGAGACACTAGCTGAGACGCAAGCCGAGAAGCAAGCCGAGAAGCAAGCCAGAAGGAAAGCCAAGAAGCAAGCCAAAGCCGTCGCCAAAGCTGCCCAAGCTTCTGGCAAAGGCATTCCCGCCGAAGCAAGGACCGACAACAAGGTCGATGCCGAGGCGGAAAAAGATGCTGATGCCATCGCTTCAGCCAAGCCTACGCACAAATCGCGAGGTTCAACCCAGGGAACAGCAACGCGAGACGTTGACTCGTTGCCAACCGAAGCTCAGAGCAAAACAAAAGCTCAGCCCGAAGAACAAGGGTCCTTGCAAGTTGAAATCACTGCTCAGATTTCAGATCACCGTGAAATCAATGCTGAGAGCAAGAAAAACCCCAAGGCAGAGTCTCAAGCAGCTGATAGTCAGCGTGAGGCTCAAAGCAATGAAACGGCCCAAAACGCAGATGTGGCTACAGCAGGTGCGCAGTCGGCCACCACGCATGAAACGGTTGATCCTATACTAGATCCTATCCACGATGAATTTTTGCAGTATCGTATGGCCGTCCTCGAGCGCCTGGTAGGTCGCCGGCCTGTACCGCTTCGTCCAACGCTCTCGCCTCCAGAGCCGTTGTTGACCCTCTCAGTTCTGTGCACCATCTTTTTAGAAAGCAGACGTCGCCAATAGTGTTCTGCAAAATACTCGACCGGTGTGGGCACCGCTGGTTCATGTGATGCACAGCTTTCTCGATGAGAAAAAGCTTTGGCACGACAAGTCTGCCCGAACCAGCATTTTTGATCTTGGGCGAGCGCATCAGAATGATTTACGTGAATGGTCGTCTTATCTCACGGCCATGGCTCGTTCCATGTCCTTCTTCGTCACGCTTGGCGACCTTGTGGATAATTTTCTTCATGCTCACAAATACACGGGCTACACGCTCGAGGACCTCGCGTTGCCCGAGCCAATGTATCACCCAGATATCATCCGGTCCTTTTACCTCGATCACGAACGCGGCCAGAGATTTTTTCACAAGGTGCATTCAGATGCTTGCTTCCCAAGGAAGTGTGGTTTGGGAATAGCAAGTCGCGTCACCTTCAGTTGTCATGTGGCGGAGCGTGCCTTTTTCTCGGATGAAGATTACCCTGACTCTGTTCTCGTTGGATGTGGGTTCTCATGCAATAGGACGCACTGTCTCTCAAAATAACGGATATCGTAGACTTTCTCACAATACCCGAGCGTATCGCACCAAGTACAGACGAGGCCGATGAGCGCAACTGGGTGCAGGTGGTGCGTGCAGTACCCCTTGCGATCCTCTTCCAGTCGCGAACAAGGACACAGCTCCCCAGATAAATGTGCAAAGGCAGTTCTTCAACTCACGCTGATATGCACGCAGAGCTTGCAAAAAATGATCAATCAAGTCCTCAATTTGCAACTCACCGAGGAAGATGAGCGTCAACTGGACGTTCGTGACTACGGCGTTTTTGTCGTCACGCGGCATAGCGGGCAATTGTGGCATCTCGCCCCGCGCGCCGCCATGCGCTTGCGGTGCGAGTCCTTGCATGCTCGCACCCTCGGGCGCCCATCCACATGTGTACGCCGCATTCATGACCTCTCCTGATTATGCTTCTAGGCACCTCCATGGCCAAGCTGCCCGTGGAATTTGGACGGTGAGCAGTCGTCGAAGCTGGATGAGCCATCTGCAATTTTTGTTGCCCTCAAAGGCGTGCATCGACGATCGCTGGCAACGACGACTGGAGAAAAAACTGGCTACAAACTCTCCAGAATTTAGCAGGCAGGCGGCCTCGGCTCTCTGTGCTGCCATGGCCGTGCTCAATGAAGCTGCCAAGAAGACGGAGGCCTGTCCGCTGCCTGTAGCCGTGCTACTCAGGGACAGCGCAGCCATTGAGGTCGACTTTTATCGATCGCTTTCAACCCTTTTGGATGCGGCACGTATGGCACAGAGTGACCACACAGCCTGGAGTGAACGGTCGGATGAGGACCTACAACAACTCTTTCCTGCTTTATCGACCACTCCATTGATTTTGAGTTCATTGCGTCGCTTCTTGGCCGCACCATCAATCAGTGCCCTGCTTTGCGTGGTGCATCCCATCTACCAGCAGCTTCTGCTTTGCAACATGCCATCTGTCATCTCCGACATCAGCGGCAATGGCTCAGCCGAGGCTATTGACGACCATGGCTCAGCCGAGGCTAATGACGACCATGACTCAGCCTTTTCCATGGCGGTGACTGGGGATGCCCCAGACGGCACAGCCACAGCTGCAAGTGTTGACAACGGCGAAAAGAACCCCACCGACGAGCTCGGAACTAGCGAAACGCAGCCGGCGCAATCTGAGAGGGTTACCTCAAACCAGGGGCCTCCAGCAGGCTTGCCTTCGTACCTCGATCATCTCACCACTTCTGACGAAGCTCAACACACCTTTAACAATCTGGTTCGTACCAAGTTCCCAGCTTTGCTAGGATTGAGTAGCACGCAAGCGTCAAGTCTCAAGGCCGTGCCAATTGATCCCGAGGATCAGCAAAGCCCAGACCGTCCAATTGGAAGCAACGACATGGTCCAACCTGATAAGGCTAGCGAGGAGGAGCTGATGACCGCCTTGGTCGCTGAGGCTGAATCTTTGTTGAGCAGCAGCATGGTCGAGCAAGACGAAGCTTTTACAGCGACAACTGAAACTTTTGCTCGTCTCTTAATGAGCGCCGGCCAAGCGCTGGACCACGCTGGTTTCTCGGATCAGGGGCGCGTGGATGCGCTTGCCTTGGCACAGCAAGCCAACGAAAAGGATTTGTGGTCAGCACCCATCGCTGCCTGGTTGTCATCCGGCCCAGGCCCCTCCGTGCGCCAAGCTCGTCGACCACCAAGCATGCTGGAGCGTGCTTGGTGGCAACGAATGGAAATCGACGCGGCGGATTCAGCAGCGACTCAGCTTGCGCGGCAGGCCTTGTTGACGACGACAGGCAGTCAGGCGTCGAGTAGTCACGAAGCATGGGAAGTGCCCGTGTCAACTGAGCTGCAAGCTCAATCTCTTTTGCTTGTGCCTTGTGCCGTGATTGCGGCGCGTTGGCCTCACTGGTTGTCGCACTTGGCTTTGCCCAACCGTGCCACCGGTGCCGTAAGCGTATTTGAGCATACGCCAGCGATGGCAATGCCGGAGCTGTCCAGGTGGTTGGCTGCGGCGCCCCCACTTACCCCTCTGAAGCAATTTCTTTGCTGGAGCGATCTGGAGCAATCGGAGCTAGCCGTGCACATTTTGGCAGCCCAGTCCAGCTTGCAAAATAGCGGTGCTTGGTTTATGCTGACGTCAGGTGGAGAAGTTTTAAAAGTCAACAACGTGGACTTTACCGAAGCCTCGGCATCCCATGCAGATCCACATACCGTTGCATCAGCACTTCTGACCCGTCTTCGACGTTGCGAGCCGGGTGGTTCAAGCCTCGAGCGATGCATCAACGATTTGGTAGCTTTATATCACCCCTGCCCGGCCATGTTAGAGGCATTGGCTAGGCTGTTGGCATCCCAGCTACCGCCCGCGCTATCAGCTGCTCTTGTTGGGCAACTTCTGATGCCGGTGGCCAATGCACTCGAGAGGCGTTCAAGTTTGGAGATGGAGTTGACGCAGAACATTAGTTGCTTTGCACATTATCGCATGGCCCAGCTTCTTCAAGAGCAAGGCATGATCTCAGGCGTGGCCATTCAAATGCCACTGCAATTTCTACCTTGCTCCGAGCCCAGTACCAAGAGCAAAGGACCCCACCAAAGTGAAACCGAAGCAACTGATAATTTGGCGGAGTCACCCTCACCCTTGGACGAGTCCGAGGCCAGCAAAACGCCGTCGGGTTTGAAAGACGATGATGGTGTTCAGTTCTTGGCCACGGCTTCTGACGAGGAGGACGGTGTCTCGGGCTTGGCACTCTCCAGTCAAACTGTCAACGGTCACATGACACCGGCCATTCAGCTGGATCAGATCTTGGATCAGATGAAGCGCGACCTTGGGCTGTACAATGAAGAAGGCCTTTCCCAGCAACTTCTTCACAAAGCCACCATTTGTATGCTTTCCGCTTGCGTCCTCTCTTGCACCATTGCACCCCCCACACGCCACCCCTTGATCATTGATTGATTCGTGCTGCAGCACTCACGCAACATGCCACGCTCATCTGCATGGCCATCTTCCCCGATCAGTGGTTGCCACAGATATGTACGGCAGTGACACACATTTTCTGATGGAGCTCATTCAGAATGCAGCCGACTGCACCTACACCGGCGTGACGCCCTGCTTGTCCATCATTGTCAAGCGTGACTGCGTTGCTGTCGAGTACAACGAGGTAAGCATACTTCCTGCCTGTGCTTCCGGCTTAAGATGCGCCTGTGTGAGGAGTGAGACCTGCCGATCCTCAAACTTCAAGCCGAAATAGACTTCGCGCATGCCTTATTCCCTCATGGTCATATTGTTTAGGATGGATTTGGTCGCGAGGACGTGATGGCCATTTGCTCAATTTGTAGCTCCACAAAAGCTGGCGGCAAACAAGGCTTCATCGGTACGTTTTCTCTTCTCAAATATCCACTTGTCCTCTGGCTATTTGCTTTGCCAGCTTGGGCATTCATCCAAAGAAAAAAAAAGAAGATCTAACGAACACAATCAATATCACACCTGGGGAAACAGGACAAAAGGGCATTGGTTTCAAATCGGTCTTCAAGGTCGCCACGCAACCCGAGGTCCACAGCCGTGGCTATCACTTCAGATTCAACGCTGAGAACCCGAAGCTTGGTTATCTAGTGCCCGAGCGCATCGCCAAGCCGCCAGACTTTAGTGAGGAGCGAGGAACTCGCATCGTGCTACCCCGCTCTGCCGTACGCAACAGTGGCACATCCTTCGCTTCCATCGATCTTCAGGACATTTCGCAAAAGCTGTTAACCGCATTTCAACCGGACATGCTCTTGTTTTTACCCAAGCTGCGCACAGTCAACATCGTTGACGGTGACTGCGCGTTCGACAGCAAGCCAGACACGCGCAGCGTACATGTTGAATTGCATGGCTCGCAATGGCGCGAGCTACGGACAACCCTGTACAGACCTGCTAACGATACCGTGTCCGAGACACGATCCGAGTTTTGGCTCATGCATACCGTCAAGCGAGAGGCTGTGAATTTACGCCAACACGCAGCCGAGGCCGAGCTCACGGTGGCACTTCCCGTCGTCTTGGATGAAGCCTTGCTGGGCCACGAAGCCTCGGATATGCCTGGTTATCAGCGCGTGTTTGCTTTTCTCCCTATGAAGGAGTTTAACCTGCGTTTTGCTGTACATGCAGACTGGCACGTGCCGGCTTCGCGCGAGGACATTGACAGTACCTCGCCTTGGTATGTATAGCACGGCCACAAAGTTATGGAATGGACACAGAGTCCTTAGCTTTTGCACGCTGCACACACAGTCATTCACGGGTCATTCACGCTATGTGTGTGTGTGTGTGTGTTTGTGTGTGTGTTAGGAATAAATTTTTAATCCGATTGGTGGGCGTGGCATTTGAGGAGCTGGTGACAATTGCCCTTGCCTGCTATCAGCAGCAGTACTTTGCTAAAGAAAAAACAGGCGAGCAAGAGCTGAGACTGCAATGCCTCGACCCAGTTGCCGGACGGTTGCTGTGCCAGCGCTTGATCAATGCGGTGCCTGTGCAGTCTGAGCTTGTCCCACCCTTTGAAGGCGTGGCGGCCGACATCTCAGCCCGATTGAGGCAAGTACGCTTTTTGCCCACGACAAGCAAGTCTTTTTGCAGCCCTGCACAAGCGGTGGATGCGTCTATGCTGTGGGAGCATCTGAGTAAGGCCGAACAACGGGTCTTGGGCAAGGCAATTGAATTGACGGAGGGCAGTTATAGCTTTTTGCATGAAAGTGTGCATTTGGCACCAAAAATTCGCCAGCAACTGCAAATTCAGACGCTGGATGATATCTGGCTGCAGCTTCTGCCGTGGATCATTCAGGTGCGCAGGCTTTTGTCCAACCGTGCCTCGTAGCGACTTGATGCTGCTTTCGCATAGCTTGGCATGTGGTTGCTTGTGTGCCTGTTGCTGGCAATCATGTGATTGACTCATGGCATACGTGTGGGCGAACACGCGTGCTTGTACATATCGTCTTGGGACGGTCTCATAGGTCATGGGCACTGATTCGAAAACCGATCAGTTTCAAGCTGGGCTGCGTGTGTTGGCGCTTGCTTTGACTCGCATCGAGGAGGCGCTCAAGTACCAAACTACGGCGATGCGCGTGGCTGCCATCCACCAGCTCAAATCACGTACGTCATTCCTCTTGTACGTTTTGCGCAGAGGTATGACCTAAACTTTCCGCCTTGCATATGGTATTGTAGTGGCGTTCCTGCCTTTGTGTAGCGGCCAGTTTGTTTCACCCAGCAGTGAAGATGTCTTCATGGTGGACGCACTCGCGATGACAAACATGGGTATCGCACAGACATCTCTGGAATTGTTCAAGGTACGCCCTTAGCCTGCAGACGCCCGAACGTACAGATTGCAATTGGTTTGAATGTTGATTGACCGCGCGGCATTCATCTCTTGTGTTTTTCAAAAGCATGCACCGATTGTGCACCTGGACTTTGTTGCTGAGTTGGACAAGCGTCGTGGCGCCATGCAACTCTTGCGTCGCTGCGATGTAACGAGGTAGACAACGTGCTGCAGTGGAATCCTTTTCTCCCTTCTCTTGCTCTTTTCTTGTGTGTGTGTGTGTGTGTGTGTGTGTGTGTGTGTGTGTGTGTGTGTGTGTCGGAGACGTAAATGTAGGAGACGTTGCACACATCGGCCAGTGGCGCTGGAATGAGCCCATGTTCTGTTTCATGTTGTGATCGACTCTTCTCTCTTGAATCGTCTCCATGTACTCATGTCGGCGCACAACTCGACCAATCCTGCAGGATCTTGGGCCACTCTTCCGAGCGCCATTTTGTGTTGGAGGTCCTGCCGCGCCTTTTGTGTGCCGCCCAATCGGCAAACCAAATTGTTGATACAACCATGCTGGTAGCGCAGCTGGGGTCACGGTTGAAGATCCGACCAGTCGAGTTTGTAGCTCAGCTTGTCAAACAATCAGCTGGCTCACAAAGTATGCTGCCATTTAGTACACCGCGTGTGGTTATTGTGTGGAAAGGCACGCCTTCAACAAGCGAGTTATCTGTGTGCTGACAGCCACTGGTGGACTTTGTTCTTGCTGCTTTGTGTCTAGCTGCCTGGAGCATTGTGGGGGAGAGCAACGTGATAATTAAGATTGATGCCTGCTACCGTGCTTCACGGAGTGGCGCAGGCAACTTCAAAGGCATCATGTTGCGCGAAGTCGGTACGTTTCAGGCTCTGGATGCCTTGAGGTTTGCTTCTTGAATCAGCGCGGTTTTCATCTCGAGCCATCGAATTTGGACGTAGATAGAGCAGCTTCCCACATCAAGAACCTTCTTCCAACGTCGTGGCAAAAAGACATTGTTGTCTCCTCGCCTCGCTATTATGCTGGGCCTGCGTCAGGCCGAGTCGAACGCGTGGCGTATGTGCAGGAGCTTCTGGAGTGTATGGGCTGTTTTCCTTGCTTACCTTTTCAAGCGTGCCGGGTGTCAGCGTCCGTTGCCCAACTGCAAGAGCAGGGCAACGTGGCTTCAACAGCGGATACCACGGTCTCGGACACACAACCTGCTCTATGGCCATCACCCGACGAACAGATTGAGCTGACATACTACACTTCGCCCTTGCTGGAGCAACTGGTAGACATGTGCTCACCCTCAGATGGAACTGTGGAGGAAATGTAAGTTGCCGGAAAAATACATGAGGTCGAGAAGTTGAATGCCTGTGAAACTGTCGGCTCTGTAGCTGATACGCCCATCACTGCTCGATTCCGATCTTTGGCTTGCGATTTGTAGAGCACAACTCCACACCAGAAACCTCAAATGCCTGCTAGATGTCTTTCAGCGAAAACCTGAGCTCTTGTGTTATCGGAGTGTTCAAAACGGCAAAACTTGGCAAGGATTTAACTTGGCGCTTCGCAAGTACGGCCTTAAAGTGCACTATCGTGTGAATGTGGTGAATGCTTGCTTGGCCCATGCTTTATATGGTAGCTTCAGCGCTCATGTCGTTTGTGCCTTGCGCATATGCCAACTACCAAGGGTGCTACAAAGGCTTTGGCTGAACGGTTCTGGCCCAGCACCATGTCGCCAACTGGGCACCCTCTACGAGCATGAGAAGGCCGAGCAGCTGGGTGAGTGCTCAATAGGAAAATAGTAGCAGTGGACACCAATGTGCTGTTTCACACACTCATTATGCCGCGACTGGTGCCACGACTATTATTCTCAGGAGGGTTGTTGCCGTCTCATCCACTACTGTCGGACAAGTTGTTACAAAAAGCTTCTTTCAAGACGATTGATCTGGGTTTGCAAACCATTAGCCGCAGGGGTTTGGAAGCCGAGTTGCAGCAACGCGAGCGACAGCGCAGCGACGCCGAAGAGGCAGGCGAGCCCCACCCATCTGTGCATATGAGCATGAAGCAAGCCCAAGCGTGGGCGAATTGTTTGGCCCAAAATTTTGAGCAAGGTTCCGCGACACTGATGGACCTGCCGTGCCTTTTCATGCCAACCACAAAAGCACCGTCATCAGAGGGAAATGGACGCGGGACAAATCTGGCAGAGGTTCAGCAAGACGTCAGACTTGAGGGCGAGCTTGTTTCTTTGCGGCGCCTTCGAGTGAGCAATTACACTGCCACCTCAGAGCCTGATGAGTCCATTGAGGGTTACGCTGGGGCCTTTTACAATTTGGTGATGGCATGCCGACCTTATCGGACTGCCCAGTCACGGTCAGTGTATGCACTTGCAGAGTCAAGGGTTGGCCGGGTATCCAAGAAAAGGTTGCATGATCCCTTTGCTCTCACCCCTTTGCTGTTCTTTATTCACCTCACATGACTCATAAACTGCTGGCTTACCATAGGCTCTACAACCATACGGTCTGCAATTGTTGGTTGATGGATGTCTTGCGCGCACCATGTTTGAACGATGTGCGATGTCTCTCCATCCTGGTTTCAAGGGCTCGGTTTTGCGCAGGGGGGTTTTTTTTTCATCAGCACTCAACTCGACTTTCATGTTCCTGCTGGTCTATGATTAGATTTTGGAATTCTGGCTTGCTGTTGTGGCTCATCCGGAAAGTGACCGCCAGGACCACCTGGGACGTGTACATCTGACCCTGCGCTTGTTGCAAGCCTCGCTCTATGAGCTCGCTCGACCAAACCTGTTGAGTGCAAACTTTCTTCGTGACATTCCCACCAAATACCAGCCGTTACCCGCTCTCATGCCAGTGCGCAACGATGCGGCGGCAATGGTTGAGTACGGGCGCGAGGTGGTCAAATGCTTTCTCCGACAAGAAGCCTGCTTGCCTGTTGTACAGGGAGGCATCTTTGTGTGGCGTACACTAGATGAGACTTGCGTTTATCTTCAGAGCAACCAACGCGCCGACCTTCAGCGTGCAGTTAGCTTTCCAGAGCTGCGCGTGCTCACGAGCTTTCCATCTCTCTGCGCCGATTACGAACCGCTTGTCGCGCTGGAGTGTTCCTACTGGCAACCAGCCAATGTGATCGGCTTGTTTCGGCTTCTCGGTGTGGATGAACTCAAGTATGACAAGCACTTGAAAGCAGACGGTATGTTTTGGTAGTGAAGAAAACATGCCACGGGCTCTAGAAGCTCCCCATCTTTTGAGAGGCAGGGACAGGAAGCAAGTGCGTTTCCATACCAGTCACGGTTATTCGAACCCACTTTGCCGCCACAGGCATCAAGGCCAAGCTTCAATTGGCAGCATTGGGTCAAAACCTGCGCTTTGTCACTCCACAGCAAGGTGCTGCTGTTTCGGCTGCCATTGCCTTGATTCAGTCTTGGGTGAATGAGAACTGTCGCGACGAGCAGGCGCACAAGGTGTCCGAGTTTGCAAAACAAACTCTGCTTGTTCTTTGTCACCGTGTCATGTCCAGTCCGATTGTAGTACGTGGCAGCAAGGAGCTCAAGAGCTCTACAGTTGACAGGTACGACTTGCGTGTTAGAGGGGTATGCAGCACGGATGAGTATTGGTGCTGCACTTGAACTTGCTTAGATCCCAAACGAGTTCTTGCATGTCGACGCTCAAAGTGTGTGGAACGTTATGGTGACTACTGGTAGTGCTGAGCTGGCAATCGCGCTCGACTACAAGCGCCAAGAGGGCTTGACTGCCATGTATTTGGCCTCCAGATTGCCCTTGAGCGTCAATGCCGTGCTCAGCACCATGCTGCAGTTTGCAGATGGTTTTCCGGTTTGTGTGTGCATGGCATTGTGTTTGTCTAGCTCAGGGCTCTGAGAATCGGAAGTCAGGTGATGCCCAGACTCATTGCCGCGGGCCAATAGCTTCAAGCGTCTCTCGTCAGCCAACTACAAGGGTACCTCAAGTTGCACTTGCAGCCGGTACTGCGTGCAATTTTGCACGAGGAACAATCCTTACAGCAAGCTCTTCAAAGAGTGCCTCATGTAGAGTTCAGCAATAGCTGGATTCATGAAGTACGTGCGTCGCAATGGGCAGCCATGCCCGTTTTCTCGATTTACCCCACTTTTGCGAGAAACAATCATCCACTGACAGGAATGGTGTATGTGTAAATGTGTACATATCATGTTTGTTGTTACCTGCTCTTGTTTAGGCACAGAGTACCCCAGCAGCTCCAGGTATGCAAGGTTGACAATTTGTAATTTACATGTTGGTCTGTAACATTTTTCTCATCATTATTTGTTCGAACTACGGCAGAAACAGCGAGCGAGCCCGAGCTCGTGCACCCCATTGCAGCAGTACTGCCAGTTAAGCTGGATAGCGCAAGCTCAGCAGAGCGCAAGGTGGCACTCCAACGCCAGCATCGTGCCTATCAGCAGCGCAAGCAGCAGAGCGCGTATGTAGCACACTGACACACATATACCTTATTGATTTGTTGACTTGCCAGCTGCAGCGCCCTTCTATCCTTTGCTGTTTCGTCGCTTGAACGGCCTCTTTGTTGTGCAAAAGGCACCTCACATCCTTCAAACTGGGGCGCAACTATGTGGCCACAATAGTCAATTCATGCAAGAGCTCATAGTCACCGGAAAGATAACTTTGGGTGATGAAGTTCCAAACGTGGCATCAGGTCCGTCCTTTGAGGGAAATTTCCTTTGGTACGCTTGCTCCTAGTCTTTGCGCTCATGCTGTTTTTCGTTTCGTTAATCCACTGCATAGGGAGTGCTATGCATGACACTCACGGCAAGCAAGAGCCAACTTTGTTTTTACCTAGTACTGTCTCGTCGGATGCCACCTTCAAGGGTGACAAGGGAGGCGCCGTCGCGGATGGCAGTGCTTTCAAGGAAAGAGCCACCGTGGAGCTTCAGACCGAGACTGCGGACATGCAGCCTAGCGAGGAGCAGCCTGAGGAGACGCAGACTGACGGGGAGACGCAGTCTGATGAGGAAGAGGATCGGCCCGAGGAGGAGCAGGCCGAGAAGAAGCAGACGGACGAGGAGATGCAGACCGATGAAGAGATGGCCAGAGAGGAGCAAGCCGAGAGCCAGAAGAAAAAGAAGAAAAAGAAGACGGCAAAGAAGAAGCGCAAGGGCAAGAAGAACAAGGACGAGAATAGTGGCAAGCCGGCGCACGAGGATGAGGCCGCACACAGCGAGGCCATCGAGCCGCAAGAGCTCGCGAAAGAAGCTGCAGATGAGTGGGCTGACAGCGTGCTTGAGGGGACGTCTGCTGAGGTGAGTCAGTCTTGATCCTGATCACCTATCTCGATCATGTAGCTTGTGTCAAAATTTTCCGGTTATCAAACTCACAACGGGCTCACCGTCTTCAGCGACCAATCTTGGAGGCCCCAGTATTGCCAGAAGATGGCGGTCAGAATGATTTTGGATGGGCAGACTCCAGCTTTTCCCTTGCCTCGGTAGGTTTGCTTCACTTAGTTTGGATATGGTTTGAAAGCATATGAGGCTGCACTCGAGTTTCACATTGCTTTCGTGGGTGAAAGGATCATAAGAGCAAGCGAGCAGGTCGAGATGCAGAGCAGGCGGCTTTCCAGTGGTTTCGAGATTCTTGGGTCCCCAAGCACATGCCCGGCAGCAGCTTGACCTGGTACAATGAAGAGCAGGAATCCTTCAAGCCGTATGACATTTGCATTCAGTCGAGTACGTGGGCCATGAATTCTGCTACCTTTGGTCGTTTGGCAAAGGGTGCTCCACCAGTGAGTAAATGACACTGACGTGACCACCCATGGCGGGCGGCTCAATTCCTACGTTTCCCTAGCCGGCTCTCAGATGGTTTTTGTCGAGGTCAAGACGCGCAAGCAGGGCAGCAACGTATTTCGCATCTCTAGCAATGGTTTGTTTTGCTCGATGACTCGTGTCCAGCGCAGCGGGAGGAGTCATGGCTTGACTCACGATACTCGGCGTCACAACGTGTACAGAGGTGGCGTATGCAGCATATTGTGAGAAGCACCATCATCAAGGCATGCGCTATGTGGTGGCCTTTTTATCCCGAACTCCATCCCATTACGACATATGGCTGTACGACGAACGCACTGTGTTGGACAGCTTGTGTTTCTTTGCCGGCCGTGGCAAGGAAGGGGTTGCCCTCACCGATGCAGCCGATGCAGCCGATGCAGCCGATGCAGCCGATGCAGCCGATGCAGCCGACGCAGCCGATGCAGCCGATGCAGCCGAGACTAATGACAATGTCGTTCTTGATGTTGATGGCGTTGCTACTTCCAATGCGACACCCACGGCCTGAGCGAGGGCCGTTACTTGGTTGGCGAATTCGACGGACTTCCTTCCGAGTGATTTCTTTTGATGTTGCTGGTATCGCTATAGTCGGGATTGCAGATGTTTTCGCCGTTGATGTACGAAAACAGTTCGTTGTCATAGAATGGGCTGCTCAACTTATTCAGAGTTGACGTACAGCAAGTGCTTGTCCATGAAAAAAAAAAGCAACAACGCAACTTCAAATTGAAGGAATTTTGAAATTTTAAAATTTTAATTTTGCTTGGGCGTCAAGTGTGTTGTGTTTGTCAAACAACGAACCTCGGACACACGGACACGGACTTGGGCCACGGGCACGAGTATACGGGCACGGACACGGACACGGACACGGACACGGACACGGACACGGACACGGACACGGACACGGACACGGACACGGACACGGACACGGACACGGACACGGACACGGACACGGACACGGACAACGACTTGGGAGTGGGGTGTCTTTGTGGTGTATGGGCAATGGCATAGCAGCAAGTATGGTGTGGTACGTTGTCGAGTAGCAGGCGACATTCGCTGGTAGATGTGAGGCATGTCGCGCGACCTGCCCTGGCGCCAGGCGTGCCCAGACCTGGTCAAGGAGCGACTCGAGGAGGCCAAAACCACGCGCTTTCTCTATCTGGGACGACAGGGCCCAACCTGCTTTGTGGTATGTACTCCTGGGATCCTGCAGCCAGCTGCGCCCCCGCTGCACCTCACGCCTTTGCCCGCCCCACTCTAGCTCAAGGCACCGGACAGCCCCAATAAGCTGCGCGTGCGGTTTGGTGGCATTACGAGCTGTGACTGTCCTGAAGGTCGGCGTGGCCAAGAACTATGCCTTCATGCACTTTGGATCCTTCTCAAGGCAAGGCTCTGCCCGGTCACGCGACGCCACAAATTCGATTCGCAAGGGCAGCCCATCGCATGTGTCTCACGACATCTTCGGTCCTTCATCATTTCGCCAGGTCGTCAAGCTGGGTGAGCGCAATCCTTTGATGTGGCAACGCGCTCTGGTGGATCGTGAAGTTCAACAGCTCCTGCGGTGCGGATCTCGATCCTTGCTACCCCTCGTGGCCTCGTCTCCTCGGTTCTGAGTTTCTCACTGTGAGTTGGACTTTACACAGCCTACTGGATCTGCAGACCAATCAAGCTGGAGCGCGCAACTCAATGCAAGGCGCTGAAGGCCACTCGAGCTATGGAAACGAGCATGGCGACGCCACTGGCAACGTTAAGACTATCCAGCAGCGCCCTGTTGAGGAAGGGGATGTGTGCCCCATTTGCCAATGTGATCTTCTTGATGATGATTTGCCCTACATTTACTGCCACCAAGGTGTGTGTATGTGTATGTGCACGAGTGAGTGAAGGGCTTGTTGAAGGCGAGCTGCAGCGCCAGCGATGCTCACAGGCACCCGTTTAGGTTGTGGCGGCAATGTACACGGCCAGTGCATGATTGAGTATGCCAAACACGCTGCGTCACAGGGCCAACAGGTTAGCAATAGGCACATGCGTACGTCCGAGGCGTGGCTATCCTGTCTTGAATACAGACTCACACGCGCTGGAACTTGGCATTTGCCCGGAATTTGGGCGTCGATCCCGTGTTTGGGGGTTGCTTTGTTCAGGTGGCATCCTGCCCTTTGTGTCGGACCGACTTTGGTACACTGGATGAAATTCGACACCGCGTGTCAGATGGTCAGGGCCGCCGCGATGTGCGGGCACAGCGCCAGCAGCTCCATCGCGGCACTACCTGCCAAGGGTGTGCTGTGGCGCCTATTCAGGGGACCTGTTACCGCTGCGTTCAATGCAAGCGCTACCACCTTTGTGCTAGCTGTTTTGAACGCGGTTTGCATCACGAACACAATTTTACAGCGCGCGAACAACCTGCAGGGCCGGCACGCTTGGTGTCTCGGGCAGCTCTACCGTCTGCCCTTATCGAGCGCTTGCAACAACGCGAGCTGTCCGACGACGACTATCACATGCTCCTGTTATTGGACCAAGCTGCACCCGTCAGCCAGCTACCCACGGTGGCACAGCTCGAGCAAGCATGCCCTGAACATGCTTGCAGCTCGCAAATGTTTCTCAATCACCAGCAGCCACTGTCCTGTGGCATTTGCGCACGGCCGCTGCAGCTTCGCCAGCCATGTCGGGAGTTGACTTGCCACCATCGCTTTCACAAGGCGTGCATCGACCCCTATGTCACGATGCAGCGGAATGCTTGTCCCGTCGATGGTTTGACGGCAGTGGCCATGGATATGCTTGACGCTAGCCGCGTGGCTTCAGAACGACGTTCGTCCACTCGTCTGCGGCGGCGCTCCACAAACCGAGCGGCACAAAATCGCCGTGCCTCACAACAGACCATGGTTCCAAACAGCCGCCATGCGCCTTCCAGTGAAACTGGACTGGGCGTACTGCAGATTCATGGCGCGCATGCAGGGCGTGGAGTCGAGTCCGCAGAAATGACGCTTGGGCAGTCACGGCAGCAGAGCAGGGATCAGCCGCGGGAATTACATTTGCCGAGCAGTGAGCCACGGCGCCGAGTGCCACTTCAGCCAGCACGAGGACGGGTTTTACGTGTCACACACGCCGCTGATCCACAGCTCCCCACAGTGCTAGGACACGGTCACCGTGAGGCACGAACACCCGGTCACGCAAGGCCAGCGCCCGGACCTGCGGCGTCGCGTCAAGCCCATCGGGCTCAACAGACAGCCTCCCAACGCGCCACGGCTCACCCCGAGCCTTCGACGGCTTCATCAGCTCCTAGGCGTGGTATGAACCTGCTTCCACGTATCACAGGCGCGCCGTTGTCGTCAGCCCTGGGAGCTGCTTCCAACGCTCCGCGCCCCCGAGCCAACAAGGAGACGGGATCGCGTGCGCCCCATGCATCTTCTCTGGCACGCGGATTACGCGGACCAAATCAGCGTGCCTCTCAATCTCGACACGGGACCTCGTCCATGCTACCATCCTTGGTGGGCGAACGTGTGGTTGGTTCCGTTGCCTCATCCTTGACCTGATTCATTTCTATTCTAGCCGCAAGCACACCAACACGCTGAAGGGCATGTGGAGGGTCTTGTATCGACTCGTTGAGGGATATATGATTTGGTTCAGTTGTCACCGAGTGACGTGGGGTAATTGGACGGTGTCTTGAACAGTTTTGCTTGACACAATGCTTTCTTTTTGCCAGGAAACAATGGGGAGAGGGGCAGCGCAAAATCGATTCTAAATTTTCAAATTGCAGGCAGGATAACAATCCATTACAAGTCAGTCAAAACAAAAGGACGCGGTGCAAATACTGGGCAGACTCCTGCTGTTGAAGCTTCACACATAGGTTTCGGAATAGACCGGGCCACCTTGCTGGTGGCCGGTTGCCAGGGAGGCATCAGAGTAACGCATGCGGCCTGGCAAGACCGTCGGCGGGGCCATGTTTGTAGGAATGGGAGCATCAAGGTCTTCATCCAGAGGGTAGTAACTTTGCCCGTGTGTTGGGACTGTCAGCGATGGGCCATCATAAGACGACTGTGTGTAAGCGTCAACGTCACGGACATCCTGTGTGGAGGGCACAGGCGTGACTTGATTACGCTGCCAGGGCTGGGCTTCTACATCTGGCTTCCATGCGATAGTGTTGCGACGCCGACGGAGCTCAAGTTGATTGGCAATGTATTGCGATTTTGCTTGCAACTCGGCTAGTTCTCGTGCATCCTACAGCCCACCACAGACAACATTAGACGTGGCATCTCAGCCAGCCTTTGCAGCACGGCATATCGTCAGACCCGCCACGAAATACAGACCCGACGCGCAAGGCAATATGCCACAGGGAACCAAACGACGAAAACGATCACGAATGTAAAGATAACGGTGTACTCTTCTACCCAGCCTATGAAACAGCGATGATGATGAATCCTCGAATGCACGCGCGTGCCGTGAGTAACAAAATGGTCCCGACACGTACGCTGAAAGTCAGCCAGTGAAATGCTCTCTACCAAGTTGGTGAAGGAATCTCCTGAATCATCGCTGCTGTCGACACATTGTCCTTCATCAGAGCATGTCCCTTGGTCACAGGGGGAACCGGGATAGCGGCGTAAGGCCTCGACCGAGAAATCAGCACCACCATCTGTGAATGGGGCTTGGTTGAGCACCTATCAAACCATAGGCGGGAAGCAAAAGCAAAGAGCCCCCAATTCCCGGGCATGCAAAGGAGCAAGCGCGTTGGAAATTCAAAACAGACGTGCAAGATGGAAATATCAAGCGTTCAAAGACCAGGAAAGAGTCGTAAAAAGGGGTGCTTCTTGCGGCGAAACAGGTGAGGACAGCGCACGCACCACAGATGCATCTTGACAGGTGGCGAGAAAAGGCCGTCGTGGTTCAACAACTGTCGTACTCTCATCCCAGCCCATTGAACCCTGCGCGCAACGGGTGCAACGAGGAAACAAAATAAATAAATAAATAAATAAATAGACGTAGGCGAGCGAGCGAGCAAGAGAAAAAGAAAAAGAAAAAGAGAAAAGTCAGAGCACAAACCAACCTCAGGAAAGCACTTGGAGGCTGTCGTTCCAGTTCCGGAATGGGTGCGCTCAGCGTACACCTGTATTGGCAGTCAGGGCCATCATTGGACAAATATAAGAGCCGCATGAACGCATGCGCCGGAGGCTTGGGCATGGTAATTCCAGCTTACTGTGCCTGCAGGACACCAAGGGTCGGCAGTCGGGTCGTTCTACATGGCGAGGCAAGGGAGACGCATGCAAACATGCAACTGTTAGTTGAGAGAGAGGGAGGTGATCAAATCATAATTATCTTGCTCGCTTTGAGCTCATGAGATAGCTGTTGCAAGATATACCTTGCAGCAGAGAACACACTGTGAGGCGGTGGCCGAGCAAACACAAGGCTCTGCCCCAAAAAACTCGCAGAAGGGGCGGCACCGCTCGCTAGGCTCACTGGCAGCCACACAACGCCCCCGATTTACACATTCGGATCCTTCGGATTTCTAGTTTTGTCAAATACCGCGTGAAGCGTGGTCCGTGACCTGCTCGGCGTCTAGTCTATCGGTGACGGGGGGCTGCAGGCACGGGGTCTTTACTTGTGGGGCTTCCGGGCAATCCGGCGAGATGCCATTGCAGTAGCTGTCATTCCGGCAGTATATGTCCAGGTTCAAAGCGTCAAAACACTGTTGGTGGTGGGGCGCAGCACAAGTGGTCAAAGTGGGCGGTTGTTGCAACTCCTCCATGCGCAGCCACCCCAGAGCAGTCAAGAGTTCTCAGGCCATGCATACACACCTTGAAGCTGGAGGCAGCAACTTGACAGCTGTTACAGCAACCATTATTCATGTCGCTGCAAGTGGCGCCGCTCTAGCGTGTTGCCATCAGCACGATACAGATGAGCTTTGCTACATTTGGCGACCAGCCTAGAGTCCTCAAAGATAAAGTCGGCAAAAAAGCAGAACCTTAAGCTTGCAATCAGAAGTGCAGCAAGTCCCTCCAGAATAGCCCTCATCACATTCCTCATCGTCACTGGCATCTAAAATGGCCGGGTTGATGCCATTCACAAAGCAGGAAGCTAATGAGATGGAGAGGGACGAGCTTGAGCACCGAGATTCAGGTTCCGTCTTCTCCTACGTACCGTCAGTTGGTCCATCAGGCTCCAAAACGCGGTTACCGCAAATAGCCCGAGGAAGAGGTTGAAAGCAGTTGCCGCCCTGCTCCCAGCATTGCGTTGGACAGGCACAGGCACCACACTGAGCTTTGCTATTGTCCATCAGACATACGCTTGCAGGTCCACATATGAGGTCGAGAAAGGCGAGCGCAAGAGCGATGAAGAACCTGAGCAGCCAGCAGATTGCCCATGGATTCTCGCGAGCAAGGAGAAAAGTCCACGTTGTTTCGCTGGCTTCCATCGACTGCAGCTGCACGCATGACATAGCTGCCACCATTGCTTGAGACTAGACGAGAAGCAGATGGATGCAAATGCATGAGCCCCGCTTTGAAGTCCAGCGGTGCGTAACAGGAGGGGAAAAAGGGACCAAGCTTAAACAAGCATGAATAGCTGCTGTGCCTTCTAAGCTCAGCATCAGGCTTTGGCTTACTAGGCATGCACTCATTTGTCTCAGGGTCATGACTGCTACCTATGATGTCACAAACAGTGGATGTCAGCCTTCAAGACCCGTGTGGAATCGGTGAGCACTCGTGGCTTCAATGCGGAGAATTGACGTCGATCTGACTCATTCGTACCAAAATTATGGCCGACTTCATGCTGAAAGGTCAGCATCATGGCTGATAACGCAAATGTCATTGATGAGCACGAGTTGAACCGATCAATAGGCTCGCTGGGGAACACCAGGCCTAAACATACTAGCTCGCAGGACCGGCTGACCCCAGTTGAGGCTGCTTGTTAGACCCACATTCAGCCAGCGGTCCGGTTGGCCTGGGTATCAAATGCATGCGATAAGGTGCATGAGGTGCGACAAGATGAGAGGCGAGGCGTCGTGGAAGGACGGCGCGAGTCAACGGGTGCAGCTGCTCGAGGCAGGTAGGCCCAGCCAGCTTCCATTTAAAATTGCAAGAGCAGGAGCACTCACTTTGGTACCCGGCACATATACCTGTGCCACCACTGCTGCCTACAAAAGCGAGGCCTTGGACGCCGTCGTCAAAATCTGTCGAGCCGTGGGGTGCAGCGTCCACATCAAGGTCAGATTGCCTGTGCTGGGTGACATAACGGTTTGTTTGGTGGCGCGGGGCCAATGAGCGCGGGCGGGAGGACCTTGGTGGGTAAACAGGTGGGCCAAGCAGACATCGCTGTGGTCATAAGTGGACACAATTTGCAGTAGAAAAGACACGTCCCACGTCTCAGGCCTAATCCATCGTAGTTGCCACACACATGAGCACGAGTGTGGCAGCACGGGCGAGCCTACACACGGAGCAAAGTTGGGAGACGACATGACGCACTTGTAGAACGGGTCGGTGCTCGGGTCATCAAAAATTACGAGCCCCCCCACAGCCAGTCCAATGTTGGAGTACTCCTTGAATTGCTGGCGGCGCATGCTACTCGTTTGCAGAGGTATGTGTGTGTGTGCGTGTGTGATGCAGGGCCGGTGGTGGTGAGAAGGGCTGATCATGCGTCTTGCAAAACACATCGCGCGCACAGCCCCACAATGACAGACACAACAATCAAGGTTTGACACCAACTTTGCGTCGGCGTAGGCGACAACAGCAATAACATCACTGGCCACTGCGGCCATGTCCTCGCCAGCTTGTGTATAGTAGCGTGAGTCGACGAGCAGCCGCATAATGCACGTGTTTTGCGCGGCACTGAGGCCTGCACGACGACGATGACTGTTTACATCCGAGTGCAGTGGCAGCGTGCTGCCATGGGAGCGACGTGAGGATGAAAATCTTGGCAGATGGGCGTTTTGGGGGTAAAGACCAAGAGCAAGCCAAATGGATGATACCTCTGGTTGTTGTGAGCCAAGAGCTGATCTTGAAGCGTCAAGGCACGCTGCAGAGGGCACTTCATCGCGTGAGGCAATGAGGTAGCTGCACGGGAAAAGCGCACAAGTTGACGAGGCGTATCGGTGCCCCTCTCAGCAGTGATCGGGAGGCGATCAAGATGATGGATGTCCGTGCTTGAAGTGCGGTTCAGCCAATAAAAGCCGTGGCGAAGATGTCCCGTGACCGGGTCAATATCAGCGTAAACATAACTGTCGGGGTGGCCTATCGTACATGTCGCAGGATCGGATGAGAGGAGGGACAGCTGGGACCACGGCTTGGTTAAGGGGCCATGGAGGCAAAAAACAAGAACAACAACACAGCAACTCAGTTTTCATCGAGCAAAGAGGCGTGGGGTAATGCTTCGGTGAAGCTCTTTCAGGCCGGTGCATTGGACAACGGAGCGGGGCCAACCTTGAAAGACGCCATGGAAATGGGTGACGGCGGGCCGGGGATGCTGAATGCGCCTGTGGTTCGCAGTCACGCGCTCAAGAATAAAGTTGGGCGCCAGAATGGCCGAGTGTTCCCGCAAGAGAGCCGTCAGGTTGTGCTCCTGTGCATGACGGCGAGATGGACAAGAGTGGACCAGGTGAAGAAATCATAGGCATGGGTCGGTGGTGATGTGAATTGAGAACGAAGGTGCGATGGGGAGCGAGTCACGCACGGCATGGTTTAGAAACAGCGTCCAACCAGTGGGACCACGAGGCACGACTTGAGCTTGATGGTCAGCCAGCCTCTCAGCCTGGGGTGGGATGTCTGGGCCTCGTGACAACGTGATCGTGTCCGTTGGTGCATGGCTCAAAACCATAGTCAGGAGCAGCGCAAAGACGAGAAACTGTTGAATGGTGCCATGGTGGCGATATACCGGCTGCATCAGCCTACCACACCACATGACAGGCAGATGACCGGCATCCCTTGACCAGCGACGGCTGCCGCGTCCGACGTCGTGAGGCAAGGTGTGCATGCATCCACTTGTGAGAGAGAAAGATCGTTGTCAGGCACAAATGCATGACAAGCAAAGTGCATGCGTGTGTGTGTGTGTGAGAGAGAGAGAGAGATGAATTGGAGAGAGATGATTTGGTTTGAGAGAGAGAGATTAAGAGAGAGCAAAAAAAAAAAAAAGTCAACGATGTCACAAGCGTTTATGTTGTGTGAGGCTGTCGCGCAAAGGCAAACAAAAATGGTGCCTTGAGCTTGAGCCGCATGGTGTTTGAGATGACAAGCACATAAGGAGTATCGATTTGTTCTGAAAGGATGCGAGGGTGCAGGCGCACTATGTGCGGCTTCGCTACTGTCCACTCGAGGTCTTGGCGCGCGCGCGCACACACACACACACACACAACTCAAGCTCTCAGGGACAACCTAAGGCACACAGATGCTTCCGACAACTACCACCTCACACAAGAGCAAGTTTAAAAAAAAAGAAAAAGAAAAAAGCAAAAAGAAGAAAAGCATAACAACAGCACGAGGCTGCAAAAGGCAGAATAGGGTCAGGCTAGATCCAATGAGCGAAAGGGACAAACAGGCCCTTGGCAGTGCATTTGGGCTTGATTAATGGGGAACGATGTCGACGGCTAGACGATGAGCAGAGTCAGGGGCCACGTGTACTGTGACGTGGTGTGGACCAAAGGCTGCCAAGTTTTCCATTTCGATGCGCTCAACAGGGACCTGCATCCACATCTACGAGGACGAGAAGAGAGCAGTCCAGGTGGTGGGGGTGAGCAGACGGACAAGAGAAGTGCTCCGACATGAGCCGGCGCGTCATGGTTGCTCACACGTGCGCAAGGCATACCTGTGTTTCGAGGGCCTGTGAAATGTCTTGAGGTGTAATCTGGAAAGGCTTGCTCTGCGCTTTACGAAAGACCAGGTGCTTGGTTTCCAGATGCTTGACAATCTACAGCAAGAGGGACATCACGGCGAGGATGCACTTGCATGAGTGCTCTTGCTTGCAAAGCCATGACTGGGTGTGTGGTGTGTGCTGTCGAAGGCCTACGCCAAGGCCTACGCCAAGGCCTACGCCAAGGCCCGCGCGACTGGCAGGCTTGCAGCTGGTTTGAGAATGTCTGCAACGCACCTTTTGTTGTGTCAGGTCTGAGCGCTGGGACATGGCCTTTGTGGCGGCTGCCTGGCTCAAAAGAGGAGGCAGAGGCAAGAGTCACAGAGTCAATGCATGGGATAAATGAGGATAGCGCTAGCAATACAAAATTGCAAGCGAGAGGTCGCGCTAGCACGGGCGGTAGAGGTTTGAGATGGGCGCAAGACACAAACCGGGTTGAAGTACTGCTTGAGGTTGGCTGGGGTGGCATAGGCAGCCTTGCCTTGGGGAATGAGGAAGTTACGGCCATAGCCACGGCGCACTTGTACCCGCGCACCAGCTCCACCCAAGCCTGAAACACAGAGGAGTGCACCACACTTCCAGCATCAGCCAGCGCATCCCAAGGTGCATCACCTGCTTCGTTGAGGCGTACGCTACATACCATGGACGCCTTCAATTAGAACAACCTCGAGACGCGGCTCGTTATTGGGCTTGGTCCGGCGATTCGTGCGCGCCTTGGAGGACTTCTGCACAGTGCCAGCCGGGCGATGCATCGGTGAGCCGGCGCACAAGGTCACACGAAGCCTTTCAGTCTGTCAAACCATAGTCCTCACGAAAGGCTTGATTTACCTGGCGCAACGATGCATACAAAGGCGCCGCAGTGACAGCCAGCCCCACGCTAGACATGCTGCTGCTGCTGCTGCTGCTCAACGCGCTCTGGCGCAAGGCCGCGGTGGCCACCCCCAATAGCGCTGCCATCTTCAACTGGAACACACACTCGAGAACGAGAAGAAAGTCCAACACACTCCTCGCGGCCCGCAAACACATGTGTCAAGAACATCTGTTGTAGACAACCGGTGTTCCATCAAAATCTGACAACAGAGGTGTGCATGCGTGCATGGAGGCATGGTTGGGCGGACGTGCTTGCGATGGATGTCTGGCATTGATGCGTGTTGTTCATCCACCCCGCAACCGTTGTCGCCGAATTTGAAGGACGAGGGGCACTTGGCAGTGCAGTGCAGTGCAGTGCAAGCGCTTGCGACCCCCCCACCTTTTTTTTTTTTTTTTTCCTTGTTTGGGCTGCTTTGGAACTCGATTGTAGCCCTTGGTGTCTTTCGCATACAGGTGAGCTTCCTTCGCTGTTCTGTTCACAACAGCATCTGCCAAAGACTTCAATTCTGCACGGCCTCGTGGTATCGGCCTTCCGTGAGCGTCGTCAGTCTCACAGTCGCTTTGCGTCCTTCAGAGAACGTATCGAAACTAGGTCGTGCCCCGCATCTAAAGGGATGGCGCTTGGTCGTGGCCATGCGGTCCGCACCACGGGCATGTGGGTCGGCTATGGTCTCATGGGGTTCGCGGCTGTCATGCTCCTCTTCAACGCCATGTTCCCCAGCCCAACCGAACCGGCTCGTGCCCCGCGCCGCCTTCAAAGCCAGGCGGGCGCCAAGGATGCATCGGGTGAAATCAGATGGCAGTCCACCCGCGACAACGTGCCAGTGGTCGTGACGGCGTGCCCCCTTGATGAAGCTGAGCTGGCACTCACGTTGAGTTCCATTCTGCGAGCCAATCCTGCTGGCGCGGCCCCAGTCATTCACGTCATCTCCAATGACCCAGAAGCCGCGCACACCATCGCTTACCGCGCGCAGCAACAGACCGACGTCGAGGTGACCGTGTTCCCGTCCCCCATCTCCAGCTGGGCAGCTTTCATGGGCGATTTAGTCCATGGCCTCAACTCGTCTGCAGCTGGCAGCGCCGATGCCGTGGCCCTTCTTCCGGCAGGGAGCACCGTCCATCCCGATGGATTCTTCCCTTGGTTGCATGAGACTCGACGATTACTGCAGGCGGATGCCACCCTGGTGGGCGCCAGTCTGGCGTCGTTTGCCCATCGAGCCGGCGATATTGAGCTGCCCTCCATGTATCCTTTTGCACACACGACATGCCAGGCGCGCGGTGGCTTGGTTGCCAGCATATCCCGTTGGCAACAGCTGGCCGCGGCCGCGGCCGTTCGGGCCTCTGGGCAGGTCGGCATGCAGCAGCTCGATCTGGCCGCCCAAAGTTTATGCAGCGTGGAAAATCTGCTGGCGCTGTTCCCTCCGGCTGGCCAAGCTTGCATTCTAGACTCGCATGCCGGGGCCCTCAGCGCCGATGCCGAATCAACGCGACGAACAGGGGCGCGCTTTGCGCTTCCCTGTGCACAATGGGTCAATCGCATCCGCCAACTGCGGGTGAACGATCTCAACGTAGTTGACGAAGGTGAGCGCGTTTGGACGCCGGCTGCCCGCGAGGTATGTGGAGCAGAGATGACACCGCGCGTGCGCCCGTCGGGGCTCGAGTGCTGTCCCGTGGGTGCTACTCGTGACTGCACTGCGCGGCCCAAAACACCCCTGCGCATCATGTTGCATCATGCATGCGAGCTTCCCGCGGGCCTCCTGGTTCACACTCTCAAGCACCTGGCATCTGAGACGGTGGAACGCCAGACGGCAGACTTGGACGTGGTGTTGGTGCGCGGCGACGCCGCCGACTGTACCATTGCGCTACAGAGCCTCGAGCGTTGGCGCTGGGCCCACGGATATATCCGCATTAATCAAACAGATGACCGGCGCATCACGGGCGACCCGGCGGGTAGCCTGGGTGCGCTCTGGCCAGCGGGACCGGACGATGTGGAGTCGAGTCAGATTGATCTCTTTGTGATGTCTGGGCTTGAGGTATCACCCTTGGCAACAAATTGGATTCGCAGTACCCTGCAACGCTACAGCCGCACCCTTCCCGTGGGCGGTGCCACGCTGTTACCCACTCGGCACCAGGTTCGAGTTGAGCAAGCCGAGCTACGCCCCGTCATTAGCGCCATCCCACCGCTGGACGGGGTAGCCCTGTCGTCCAGCTCACGTGCTCAGTTTACGCGCTGGCTGGGGCAATCGCTGAGCCGCTCCACCCTATATGATTATCGCCTCAATCCTGAGGACGGCCTCTCGTTGACGGCTGCCTTTCGGCGATGCGTGGCTCTTTTTTGGCAGCAGCAGCATCAGTTTGCAGTGCAACCGAGTGGTGCGCTACTGGCGCGACGCTACACGGACGAGCAACAGGTGGCGGCGCCCCTGGCTAGTGCAGCGCACACGGTGGAGCTTCCGGACGTCCCTTCTGCAGTGGATGCCAACGGCGATCCGATTGCACTGTGTCTGCACGGGCCCTGCCCCTCTCATGCCACTTGTCAAGACACTTTGAACGGGGCCATGTGTGTGTGCCCCGTCAACGCCGCCGACTACGAGACATGTGTGCGGCAGCTCGAGTCCCCGTCAGGCTCGGATCGCCCCGTCCTCTTGACGGACGAGCAGGCCATGCACAATCTGCTGCAGCACGTGAGCGAGAACAACGCCGTGACCGTCATGACGGTGACCAGCGGCTTTGTGGACTTTGCCACCAATTTGCTAATGAGCATGACGCGGGTCGGCGTGAACAACTTTATCATCATAGCTGAAGACTACACCTCCTATCAGCGCCTCAACGCACGATATCCCCACCGGGTTGTTCTGCCTAATTTGCGTACCATGATGCAGGGCATGAGCGGCAGGAGCGGCGCCGATGTGGCCGATCGCACAGGCTTTAGCTATGCCAGCAAGCAGTACAATGAAATTGTGGGCCGGCGTCCGCGCTATCTTCTCGGCATTTTGCGCATGGGGTTTGACGTATTGTACACGGATACAGACACGGTGTGGCTCGAGAATCCATATCATCAGTTCCAGGCGGGATATGACATGCAAATTTCCAGCGATAAAGAGGGTCAGTACTTGGTTGGGTGCGCATGTTCGAGGGTGGCTGGCTGACTGGCCCATGTGCCCTGACTGCCTCTCGTCTTGCTCATGGCAATGGCTGATTGATTGTAGATGAGACCTTTGATCCTTGGCATATGTTGTGCACCGGCTTTATGTTCCTCCGCAGCAAGCGGGTGAGCAGAGTGGGCCGAGTGATGCGGCTTTCTTTCTTTCTTTCTTTCTTTTGTTTTTTATTTAATTTTGTTTTGGTGGGGATGGGGTTAGGGTGGGGACAGGCTCGGGTGAGCCTGGGCGCTCACATTCATCACTTTTGCGCTCACATGTGTATCTTCGATCGGGTTTGCAGCCGGTGATGGCTTTTCTAGACGAGTGGCGGCGCGCTCTGGAGGCCGCCCAAGGCGTGACGGTGAACCAGTATGTCTTTAACGACATTTTCAATCGCAAGTGAGTACTGCGCTGCTCACGCGGCATGACCATGCGGGAGCAAGTGTTGATCGACGGCCCATGCATGTTTGAGCAGATACCGGGAGCAAATCCCAACTCGCCCGCTGCCTGACCGCAAGTTTCCGAGCGGCGCACTCTACTTTGACAAGTACTGGCGTAGTGCTCAGCCGGAGCAACCCACGGGTATGTAGGACGAACGTGGCTACCGGTGTGCCATGGCTGATTGCGCTCATCATCTTGGCTGTCTGTCCTGTCTGTCCTGGCTGGGCGGGATTATCGTGTCGTCTTGCAGTTGTGCACAACAACTTTATCGTTGGTGCTGATGCAAAGCGGCAACGCTTTCAAAAGCTGGGCTTGTGGTATGTGGGGCAGAGCAAGAATGTCAATGGCGTCTAATCACCTGTGGCAGCAGTCACAAACTTGGGTGATGCAAGCGTTGTGGCCCTGTTATATTTCCGCGCTCTTTACTAGTCCATAGTGACGAAACCTGATACCTCGTTGTTGGTGGTTTTTGCTGTTGTTTGAGGTTGCATGAGCTATGAGCTGCAGCGCCAAGCGCTCCCTTGCTAGCCCTGCCGGTCGTGTCGTCGTGGTTGTGGTCGTGAGTTCATTATTGCCCACAATTTGCTCATGCCATACATCAATCACTCCTGCGACGCTGCAAACAAAACGCCCCACAAAATGTACATGGGTGAGGATGCAGCTTACACAGGATGACGCACCCATGGGTCCTTGTCATTTTTTCCAAAAGCAAAACCTTACAATGATGTCACTTTTAATCAAAAGAGGAATAAAACAAAAGAGACAAGCGTGCAGTAGCTTTTAGGTGCACGAGGCTGGGCGGCTTTGGCAGGTTGATCTGACGGCGGCATTGGTATTGGGTCTTGGCACACGAACACCACAATGCAAGCTGTGCCGCCGAAGCAAGGTGCAAGGGCTACCTCATGGTGCTTGGTATAAAAAGTTGCAAGGTTGCTGCGGGCGCGCAGCGGGATGCGAATTGCGAAACACTTCTTCATGACGAAACTGCCTGGACCAGAGGCGAATGCATCGGCTTGACGATGCTCTTCAGATGTGGTTCCTCCTCATCCCTGCATCCTGGTCTCTGTGGTGTGGCGATTCACTCTTGTCCCCAAGCGATAACAACGACAAAAACGTAAACGAGTGATGCGTCACTCTTGTTTCCGATGAGAAGTTGAGAGAGCGAGAGCTTGAGAGAGTTTGAGAGAGTTTGGGAGAGTTTGAGAGAGTTTGAGAGAGTTTGAAAGAGAGACTTTGAGAGAGTTTAAGAGAGTTTGAGAGAGGTCGAGGGGTCGAGAGGCATCGTCATCGTTGCAGTCCTGTTGCCGCAATAGCCAAAGCAGTCCACAAGCTGCTGCTCGGAGAGGGAGAGAGCCAGAGCCAGGGGACAGAGAGACAAAGAGAGCTTGAGGTAGAAGAGACAGAGGCAAAAACACTGAAAGAGCAAAACTTGCCTTTTCTTTAGAGGAAAATTATTGACATGTGAGACGATTCATCCAGAGAGACAAAGAAACGAGAAGTGAATGTGCGTGAACGAGTGACCAGCTGTCAACGGGACGCTCGGGCTCGTTGTGGTATCACGAGCCATTTTGTTCACCACGCCCCCCCCCCCCCCCTTTTAGCGCACCCCCGCTCACGACGCAGTTCTTTTGCCTGTCAGGTTTGTATCTGTACCCTTGGCTGCCTTCTCATCGATTGCCAAGGCACCATTCCATTTAGCACGCCCGGTCAGAACAATCAAGTGTTTGACGTGCATCTTGGATGACACTCTCATCATCGCGACGATGCTATCATCACAGAGCTCATTGGGCACAACTCTTGCCTGGACTCTCATTGACCCTGCTTTCCGGCCCTGATCAAAACACGTTGTATATCAGGTGTGGGATTACTCGTATCAAGCCCACGTTGCAGCCCAACTTAACGGTGTTTCTTGTGGTCTCCAAAGCCACGGTCAGTTCAGTTCCTCTCGACTGATCTTCGATTCAAAGCCGCAGAACGCCACGTTTAGACTGGCATGCGCGCACGACGCCAATGTGGTGTGTGAAGCAGAGACCTTGCATCTGAGTGCATACATGTGGGGAGAAACAGCTGCAAGGTAGCTTGCAACTCAGCCGATTCTCACAACGGCACCCACCGCGCTCCTTTCCGTAGCCCTCTTCTTGCTCCATTGCCACTGCAACTGACGAGCTGATAAAGGTTAGTCGATGCAGCGAATGAAGAGCGTTTCGATGATTTGCCTCTTACGCAGGCAACCAACCAAACGGTAGGTGACCCCACATGCAGCTAATTGTGAACTTGTGTGGTTGCACAGTCACGCCAATCTGGCGCGTCAACACGGCGCTCGAGCCACCCAACTCAGTCGTGGCTACCAACTTGAAGGCATGGTGTCGCGGAAGGGCATGCGTATGTGCCTACCGGTATGAAACCGTTACAATCAACAACGGGAACCGTTCCCTCCAAGTCACCCGCAGCATTGGCCCAAGACGCGGTCGAAGCAACGCCCAAAGATAGCGAACCACCGCCCACAACTTTGACCAGCACGTCAACCAGCGCCCTCTCAGCGCCCGATGGGGTACGTGGGGACCCATCATGCACGGCGCAAGCCTCAAATACCAGCGCCTTGCCCCCTACAATGGGCGATGTTGTCGGTCAGACGGCGAGCACAGTTCTGTCTGCGAGCGGCAGGGCACGAACTTGGCAGGATGGACACGGGCGTCAGAGTTCCCGCGCGTCACGTTCTTCAGCAGCGCCCACCTCATCGCAATATGCCATGCCCAACCTGACAGAAGTCAATGGACTTGGTCGCTCAGTTGTGAGTTTCGCACTGCAGGGGGCGGGGCATTGATTGCTATTGCCGAGTCGGCCTGGTGCAACTCTTCTCAGACGAATTGGCATTTGCTTGCTCCCTCTCATATTGATATTGTCATGCATGCATTAGGATCGTACACCTTTCCAGGGACATCGCACGCGCTCATCCTTGATTTCCGAGCAGCGCATGCTTAGCTCCCTGCTCTCAGTGCGCGTTGAGGATGCACCGCAAGCCCTGTTGGTCAATGCTGTGCCATATCGACCAAGCTTCAAACGGATCAAATCGGATATCATTCCTCTGAAGCACAAGTTCAAGCAGCAGCAGCAGCAGCAGCAGCAGAGGAAGAAGCATGACGCGCAAAGCGGAGCCTCAACACAACACCCGCCGCACGCAGCTCCTGTACATTCTGGACACCATTACGACGGGAACACGGCCTTGTTCAAAATGCTCAGTCAACAAGCTATGACACCATTACGCGCAGAGGTGGGCCCTGGGTCGCTTGATGCTCGGTCTCCATCCTTGCAATACTTGCTGCACGCACTTCAACAGCAGCAGCAGCAGCAGCAGCAGCAACAACTACAACCACAGCCATACTTGCCACCACAACTATATCATGGTCAGCAACAACAACAGCCAGACGGTCCGCAGACTCGACAGGTACTGCAGCTTCCTCATCAACAGCGCTCAGCTTTGTTTGAATCAAGATGGTTGCCAGCATTGGACGCCACGGAGGTTATGGCGACAAGTGCTGCCATGAACCTTGGAGCGAATCTCAGTTTGACGGCGCAGGCGTGGCCCGCACTTGCACACGACCAACACGCTCCAGTCTCGAGTTCTTGGAGCAGTGCTGTTTTTCGGGCTCAGCCATCTAGTCAAGCGCAATTGCCTTTCTGGTCTGCGGCTGCGCGCGAAGGAGTGCCCAGATCAGGAGCGCCAGATTCGAGTGCCCAGAAATGGCCAGCGGGCGGCAACAGTCATGGCCACTTGGCATGGACGTCCCCATCACCTGCCCTTGTGCCTTCCACCCAAGCTGGCTCGTCGAAAGGAACGCCTTGGAGTCAACCAACTCAACATTCTTAGCTGAAGCACCTGGACGGTTGGGATGCTGTGGACTCTCGCCTACGATGTAACCCTGCCCTGTCGTGCATGGCCAGCCTCCTCCTTTGAGACATTTGATATGTCACGTTACACCAGACCTGCTTGACAAAACCTGTTATCGACCTTTCTTCTGCCGCGTTTAAGAGTGCCAATTGATCAAACTGTTTTACAACTATCAGCCAGGAGGCTTTTTTGCATCCCACCATGCACGAGGCCGAGGGCAGCGAATTCACGTCCCCAAAAACCCGCTCCTCCTCGCTCCAAGCCAGAATCTTTTTCCATTCCGCTCCTGTCTGTTGGATGCCAGAGTACAGGCACGCTTGGCGTTGTGGATGATGTTGTGGCTGTGCTTCACACAAACC